CCAAATGGCAGCTCCATAAAGAAACAGGGAGGTTGATATTATTAATTAATTAATTGATAATTAGTTAGTTAGTTAATTGCCTTTTGCCATGGCAATTTAAACCGACTTACAATATTTTATGCAAAAAAACCAAACGCATACATACATTTCAACCAGCAAAAACAACTAACAAACAAGGTTATTTAAAAATCATGTTATCCTAGTTTTAAAACTTTAATAGCTGCAGGGATATACTGACCCCCTTTGGTATAGTAGCAGATATAAAAAGTGTACTATAGCAGACTGATTAGCTTGAGCTGCCTGGGATGCAAAGGTTTGTTGTTCTTGCTGAAAAATATACTAGACCCCTGCAAGGGGAACTGTTTACCGTCTTCACAGGAAAGTTGAGTGTTAATGTACACACTTTATTTCTCTCTCTCTCTCTCTCTCTCTCTCTCTCTCTCTCTCTGGGAAGCTGATTTGGGAGAGATGGGAGGGAAGTGGCCAGAGGGTGTCGTGTTCATGGTACCTGTCCACAGGGCTAAAAATTGTTGGTGATGCATGCGTTAGTCATAGTCCAGCCACTGCACTCTGGAACAGTGGCACTGGCGAAGGTTGCAATGGTAATTTGTATATGCTTTGTCTCCTGCATGTTTATATTCATCACCATTTAAATCCAAACCGACCGAAAACCTACACTGATGGTTTGATTATGTCATAACACATGTCAAGCTTTTGGGACAGGATGGGGTTGAAATTCAAATGGCTCACATTCTCCTTTGCAGCCAGTTCTAAAGCTCTAATTCCAATGGCAGGATCTGAATATGGGAATGCGTTATGGCAGCAGGTTTTCTTTTGGAGGGAAGGGCCAAGCAAACACGTGAACCCTGCCTTCACTGACAATTGCTGCAGTTTTCTGCAGGAAGATCTGAGTTTTCAAATATGGCCATGGCTGGAACAGAGAGCTGCTGTCCATGGTGCTGAACCTCATCTTTATCTGCATGTTTGGATTCCAGGTCCTTGACAGTATTAAAAATGTAGCTTCTAGCAAGATCCCAAACTCTGCCCTTCTTGGAGTTGAGCCTCCCAAAGGGGAGGTAAATACCTATTTGGTGAGCCCTAAATATTTTCCTGATGGAGAATCCTTCTGGTCCTCTCTTCAGTAAGTGCAGTGTGTTCACTACTATCTTGATCTTGCTGACTGTGTTATAAGATGGGAGAATTTATGGACAACCTATGATTTGCTATTTGTTTGCTCCCCTAGGGCTCATACCCCAAAATAAATGTTCCTGGCCCCGAGCTAGTATATACTTCTGTGGCATATTTATAATCTGTTACAATTTGGTCAGTTTTTCCTCTTGTTCCCCTGCCTGCAGACCTCATGTAGCTGATAATACTTTAACACACACACAAAAGGGATTTTGATTCAATATGTAGTTGTTGTTTTTGTATTGGTTCTTTTTCTGTATATTGGTGTAACCATTTTGCGTATTGTTGTGAAATGAAATATTGTTCCAGATCATGTTCCGCCAAGGTAGGTTGGAGATCTATGGTCCTCAGGGTGTTGTTAACTCCCACCACTCAGCCCCAGTGAGCATGCCCACTGACCAAGCATGATGAGAATAGCAGTCTAGAAACCTTTGGTGGGCTGTGCGTTCCCCACTCTGTCTTATATAGAATCATTATCCTTAAAATCCCCCAAAGCCCTTCTTTAGCCTGATTTCCCTACATCTGGATTGTATTCAGAAGGACCATGTTGAGTCACATTTATTTCACATGTCCCCCATCACTGTCAAGTATAATGAAAATCTATTGAGCAAACATAGAAACACCAATACTACTTCTTGGTGCTTGGAGTCTTGGCCTCACTCTCATTAGATTATAAAATCTGACATCCCTTCAAGTCAAGCAGACTTGGAAAAATTCACCAGGATCTCTGCAATACTTACCTGTCACTCATGATGAACAGGCTATGACCTCACTACCAGCTGGGAACTGAGTCATTCAAGGGGTAGTTGAATGTTTGTCTCAGAGACTCTGTGCTACGCATTCCAAAAGCAAGAAGCCACAAATAAGAATCAAAGAACTGCCAAAGATACAGAAACATGGCAGAGCTCAGGAAGACCTTGTAGCTCAAGCAAGGTTCAACTAGAACAGGAAGCCCTATTCTCCTTCCTATCCAGAAAGATCTAATGCCCACCCTGTGTGGGTGGAATCAGTCCAGGGCCTTAGAGAAATTCACTGTGACATTGCCATCTGGAGTTCAGTCGCTGACCACATAAGGCAGCTACATAGAGATCCCAGCAGCTCCTGACACCTGTTTACGAGAGCAAATCCATGTTCCTAGTGGCCACACAGCAAGCTGTTTCTCATGCTGTTTCTTACGGAAAATCACCCCTTTCACATCAGTTATAATGGGTACAGTCACTGTTCACTTGTACATCCTGAAGAATGAGTTAATAAGACTGTACAGAAGAGCCACATGTAATGCGCACAGTGGTAATATACAGTATGTGATATCAATGACTTATTGTGTATTCTTATGGAATTGTTTGTCGGTGATACACTGTGGTTAATATATTTACTGTACAATAAAGACTGACTTGACTTAACATTGCCATGTGGGAATATGGTATCTGGTTCTCCTTTTTGAGAACTTTGCTTTGAGAATGATTTCTGGGCGGCAGGTGTTATAAGAATTCTAAGGTCTCAAATACAGAATAAATATTCATAAATGCACACATATCTAAATATATAAACCATGTGTCTGAAATAGTACAGGAGAGCAATTCTGAAGCCATTTCGACTCTCCCAATGACCTCAGATATTCCTCTGCAGTAAGGGAGGCAAATGGAGAAAGCCTTCCCATTGTCTTTTCGCTTACAAATCCTGTCTTAAGGGTGTATTTGTGCATGAATAGGGTGAGCCTGTGACCTGGATTCAGCAACTAAAGTATTAACCATCACAAAAGAATGGCCAGACTGCCCAGGTAATGCAACCAGCAACCATTTCTGCTGTAGAGTGCCTCCTGTGATGTATGTACGATGATTTTGGGGTGGTCTTTGGCTAAGGGGGTTGGGCAATGTCAAAAGTCTTTAAAGGTTCCTGCACACTTTTGTTCAGGGTCTCTCCCTCCTGGGAAGGAGGGGAGGGAACTCTGTTGCCTTGCTTTCCACTGCATCCTGCCTCCATTCATTTTTCTCTGACCGGTCATGGACTTAGGGGACTCCGAGTCCTATGGAGAGTTGGGCAGCATAAGCCAAACCCCAATTTTTACATCACAGCCACACACCAAAAAAAAAAAAAAAAGCAATAGTATTACAGCGATGTCATTTGCATCTCAGATAAGAGCCCTTGGAACCCATCACAAATGCCTTCATATGTCTACCTGTTCATTAAGAACCTAAGAGGAGTCCTGGAGCTGAATCAGACCGAAGACCCATCTAGTCCAGACTCCTATCCTCATAGCACTCAGTCAGATGCCATGCCCACAAACAGAACCTGAGTGCAACAGCACTCTGCCCGCTCATTTCACTGTCTAGGACATTCCCATTGCTCATGTTCTCCACCTGCAGTATACCATGTTGCTCATCACCTCCTCGAAACCTTTCCCCTGCCTCACATAATCAGGTTGAAAATCACTCAACAGGTAGCAATGAGCCAAACATCAGGGAGGAACAGTTACATGCAGCTGCATAGCCCCATGGCAACATTTGTGTGAAGGAGGTCAGGAGGAGGTAATATAGAGGGGGGAAACAGTGGTGCGGAGTGCGTGCTTCACCCTTTTCTTGGCTGACATGTTCCTGCTACAAGTATCCACTACCACCTGCCACTGCTGGTTTTCCGCCCAGGGGGTTGCAGATATGTGCTTAACTTGCAAGTACACCTGGAATATTTAAAGCAGTGGGTGGCTTGAAGAGGGAGTTGCAATGGGAAAGCAGCAGTGGAATAAGGTTAAACACCTCCTCCATTGTCCCCTCTCCAAAGTAGCTTTTATTGGGTAACGTAATGTTTAGCTCTGCTCTGCAAAAGGAAGAACACAATGTATAAACACTACTTCACTGCGTAAATGTAAACAGAGATTTATTTATTTATTGCTGAAGATTGAATCTCTTTAGTTTGAGAGAGAACTTGAAATTGTTGATCTCACAGCATGCGCACCTGCCTGTACTCTCCTCTGTGTATGCACACCCATATGTGGCAATCCCTGCAGGTTTCTCTGTAGCTATGGATTTATGAACACCTGTGGACATTATAGGTAACTCTGCACATGTGTCAGAATATTAATGGGGAGCCTCGTGAGACTATATTTCCTGGGAGTTATGATGCACTGTGCCTTCACAGCCAGTTCTGTGCCTCATGCCCACCAGAATTCTGGTTTCAGAGCAGGGAATTCTGGCTCTGCTCCAGCAGAAAGAGTTGCTATGATTCTGTGGCTATAAATTAAACAATCCACACCATTGCGTGTCAGGGCCTTAGACTCTGGACTGATGTGCTTTCCTAAGCCCCAGCAATGAGGAGCCGGACAGAGGAGGAGCAGAGAAGGAAGAGGGAGTCAGGGCAATATGCTGCAGAGCAGCTTTGCTGCCCCCAGACACTCCGGTGTTTGACACACTGAGCTGCTCTCATTTGGCTCAGCAGATCCGAGAGGCTTAGGGAGGCTCTTTGATACAAATGTCAAATTTACATAAACTGACACAAATGGGATGTAAAAATGCACCAGATTATCAGAACCCCAGGGTTTACATGGCAGCTGGGCACGTGGTTGGAATCCTAAAAAGAGGGCTCCTATGCAGCAAAGGCAGGGCTGAAGGGGGAAGGGTTGGCAGGCGGGCAGATTGCAATGCATCCTTGCATTGCTGGGGCTGTGGGTGAGTGTGCACAGCTCAGAGCATCAGGGAAAGGCCACATACAGGGAGAGGCAAACCACCTATGCAGCCTAGTCCTGTTCATGCTCCCTTGAAGTGTGCATTTAGGATGGTAGCCTTGGAGGCATCGGCCAGGATGCTGAACACTTCCACTTAATTCTGAGAACACCGACTTGCTTCGAAATCTGTGCTGCCTCGATTATGCTGCAATAACGAATGATGGGGGAGGAAGAGGAGGACACCTCTCTGCTTGAAACCAGATTCCTGAAGGATAGAAAAGGGAATTTGTAAATAGTATTTGTGGACCTGAGAAACAAAGCTTCCATTTGACTATCTCGGCAAGTTTTTATCCTTCGTGACTACAGAGGAGAGTTCAATGAAGGAGGGAAATGCATGTTTTTAAAAAAACAGACACAAATTCAGTGGAAAGGGTCTTTCAGGACTGAAGAGCGGAAAGTACTGATACTCTACTCTGTCTCCCTCTCTCACGGCTACTGAACCACAATTTTTGCCTCTTCGTATGGTTCACAAAGTTGCTTAGCTATATGATCCCCAAAGCAAGAGAAAAAGAGAAGGATAAACCTCAAAAGGAAACTGGAAGTGCATACAAGAAAATTCAACACACACACCCTCCTCTGTAAATGTACTAGAAGCTAATAAGTGTAATGGCAAAACAGTGTTGCCACAACATAATTAGAAAAACAAAACCCATTGATGATGATAATAGATAATAAGCAAGGATGAAAGACAACTGAAATGACAATGAAAGACAAATACAAGTAAGCATATAACTAGATACATCAAGGTCTAGCAACATGACTGCAAAATTGTCCCAAGTGCCTTGTTACTTAAATTCATAAGAAATTTATTTAGAATATTATGAAATATCTCAACTGCATGGATGGACTTTGGAGCAACCTTGCATCCATGCAGATTGCAACTCTTGACCCTATTAAGGAATGAGCTAGATGCAATTTTAGATATCTGTACTATCACTGTACCGCGCCCACCCCCCAAAAATAGCAATTTCAGGTGAGAGAAGCACTTAAACTGGGGAAATGGCATAGCAAAAAAGTACAAACACCACTTGCTCAGTGCTGTGTCCTGAGCTGATTTCTCATTAACACCACCCCAAATGGAGCTAGTTGTCTATCTGCCTGTCTATTGTTCTTCTATCACCTCCATGGAACTACTCGGCTACAGGCACAAAGAGATCACTATGGTTTCATCTACTCTAGTGTCCCCCTTAAGGGTACGAGGCATTCCGGGTTGGCAGTGAGCAATGCAATGAGAGTGGAAATGCAAAACTATGCATGGAACAGCACAGGTCAGATATTCCAGGGGTGGGGAACCTGCAGCTCTCCAGATATTGCTGATCTACAGCCTGCATCACCCTTGGCCACTTGTCATGCTGGTTGGAGCTGATGAGAGTTGGAACCTAACAGCATCTAGAGAACCACAAGTTTCTTCCTCAGGAGTTATGCCATGACCTAGGATTTGCACAGCAAATCCAGGATAAAGGATTTCCCTGCCAATGAGGATCAGGAATGTTACCCCTGCCTTCCCCAATCATCTCCACACCTAGCCTTGGCTTTGTCCTTCCCTACCACTGTTCTTCTTCCTTTCTCTACAAAGCATGCAAAAAAGATGCTAGAATAAAGTACAACTGAGCAGCTGGCTCCTTATCACCAGGTAAACAGAAATGAATCAAAACCCACGAGTGACTGGAATACAGGTCCAATTTAAGGAGGTGTTCAGCACAGCTCAGCTTCGGCTGTGTTTACACAAAGGGGTTGCTTTTAAAACACTTTGGCATGTGTTCACTTCCAATTGTTTGTGTATGAAGAATTGAGAGCAAAAGGGTTTAAAGTGGAGTCAGGCCTGAATTACCACTCTTCAAAAACAACAGCAACAACCCTGCAGTCTAGAAAACCTCTAGAAGTCTGAGTCTGCCTTGAAGGCACACAAGATAGCAACTTTGCTGAAACCATGCCAGACTAGAAGACCACTTAGGAAACACATTTTAAGGACAATGACAAACTGGAAACCATTCTCTCTCTCTGTGTGTGTGTGTGTGTGTGGCCAGGATACTGAGGGGTCTGGAAATGCAAGTCCTATGAGGAGTGGTGGAAAGAACTGGGTGTGTTTTGCCCAGAGTGGAAAAGATTAAAGGGAGACAAAAAAAGCTGTCTACATCTGTCTGGAGGGCTGTTGTGTAGAACATGAAGCAGACTTGTTACCTGTTGCTCCAGAGAGCAGGATTAGAACCAACAGGTGGAAATTGCAGTTAAGTAGATTTTGGTTAAACTATAGGAAAAACTTCTAACAGTAAAAGTTGGAATAGTTGGTATTGAGGAGCAATGCATACCCTCCCTTCACTGGTTGGCCATCTGTCAGGGATCCTCTCTTGCTATTCCTGGACCAAATGACCACCAACATCTCTTCTAGTCACTCCAAGCCAGTTCCTTCTGTCCTAGCTTCAAGATTGCTGTCCATGGTCCTGAACTCTAGGTACAGGACTCTGAACTGGCGTCTTTGATCCAGTCAGGGATGCTGACTTTACCAAATCAAGCTTCAGAATTCCAGTTCTGCTTTTCTCCATCTTGTTTGGGCAGTCACCTCCTCTCAGTGGCCAAGATCACAATGGATGAGGACAGCAACCAGCTCAATCTATATCTTCCCCACCAGCACAGAGCTGAGAAGCGGTGGGCACAGACCCCAAACAGTTACATAGCCTCTTCCTCCAGTGGTGAATTATGTGTGGATCCTATTCACCAATTTGGGTTGTGCAAAACAACTCTGAAATCAGAGCTTTGGGAGACATGTAAGCTGTCAATGCTATTCAAATGTCTCAATTACTCTGGGCTAAACTAGACAGGATACCATTTCATACAATTCAATAGTGTGAATGGTTAAGGCAGGCATAGGGAAACTCTGGCCCTCCAGATGTTTGAGACTACAATTCCCACCATTCCTAGCTAACAGGACCAGTGGTCAGGGATGATGGGAATTGTAGTCCCAAACATCTGGAGGGCCAGAGTTTGCCTATGCCTGGATTAGAGTTTTTTTGTTTTAAAAAGAACAGAACAGCAGATATGAACCCCCCATCCACACTGGGACCTTGGTGAAAGCAAAATACTTTCCTTCCAAAGCAAAGATCAGTGGTAAAAGTGACATCATTAATCACTACCATTTTTACCTGTTCATTTCCCCCCTTTCTTTTTTAAAACCAGGAACAGAAAGACAGTGAGAGATCTGATACAAAGGAGGGTGGAGCTCCTGTACTTTTAATAGCTGCCCACATCCACCTGGTGCCCTCCAGATATTCTGGACTACAACTCCCATCATCCCTGACAGGAACTGATGGGGGCTTAATTCAAAAAATCTGGAAGGCACCAACTTCAGGGGAGGTTACCTTAGCACTTTTTGCAGAAGAGGCCATTGTGGCCCCAGCAGCAAATTGCCCAAAGTTTCCTATTCCAAAATCCTCTATTTGGGTAGTACTAAGAAAGGCAGCAGGGACGCGGGTGGTGTTGTGGGTTAAACCACAGAGCCTAGGACTTGCCGATCAGAAGGTCGGCAGTTCGAATCCCCGCAACAGGGTGAGCTCCCGTTGCTCGGTCCCAACTCCTGCCAACCTAGCAGTTCGAAAGCACATCTTCCTTTTGGGGAAGAATTACAACGATAAAAATGAACGTGCTACCAAAGATGTTATTTCTATTCCAAACAGTTCCAGTAATCAAGGGGGCAGCAATTTTTAAAAACTGGCAAAGAGAAATTTCAAGGTATATCTGGCAGGGTAAGAAGCCGAGGATAAAATTTAAGATTTTAACAGATGCAAAAGAAAGAGGAGGCTTCGCCCTGCCAGACCTGAAATTATATTATGAAGCATCTTGCCTCTGTTGGTTAAAGGAATGGATAAAATTACAAGATACGGATGTGTTAGACTTAGAAGGTTTTGATAATAGATTTGGGTGGCACGCGTACTTGTGGTACGATAAGAAACGGGTCCACAAAGGTTTTGAAAATCATATTATAAGAAGGTCCTTGATTGAAGTATGGGAAAGATACAAAAATCTGTTGGAACAAAGAACACTTTATCGGTTATCACCGATGGAAGCGATGAGCGTGAAGAAAGTCAATATGACAGGGGGTTGGGTAACATATGAGAAATTAATATGTAAAAGTGAAGGAAAATGGAAAATGAGACCATTTGAAGAAGTCAAGAATCATGTGAATGACTGGCTGCATTTTTTCAAATTAATGAGATGTTCAGAAAAGATTTAAATGAAAGGGGCTTTGCTGATAAAGAATCCAAATTTCAGACTGACATATTAAATAATGACTGTAAGATCTTAGCAAAAATGTATAAGATATTGCTGGAATGGTATACGAAGGATGAGGAGGTAAAATCTGTGATGATTGATTGGGCCAAAGATATAGGACATAATATACAAATGGAGGAATGGGAAAGACTTTGGAAAGATGGTTTAAGATTCACTGCATGTACTGCTATAAAAGAAAATGTTATGAAGATGATGTATCGATGGTATATAACCCCCGTAAAGTTAGCAAAAATGTATTAGATAAGTAGCAAATGTTGGAAATGTAAAGAAAAGGAAGGCACTTTCTTTCATATGTGGTGGGAGTGTAAGAAGGTAAAATGCTTCTGGGAAATGATTTATAATGAATTGAAGAAAATGCTGAAATATACATTTACTAAGAAACCAGAAGCGTTTTTACTAGGTATTACAGGGAATGAGATAAACAAGAAAGAGAAGAAGTTATTTTTATACGCAGTGACTGCAGCAAGAATATTGATGGCCCAGAAATGGAAACAAGAGGAGCTGCCTACGATAGAAGATTGGAGAGCCAAAATGATGGACTATGCGGAATTGGACAGAATGACAGGAAGGATTCGGAATCGACGAGATCAAAGATTTACAGAAGATTGGGAGAAGTTTATTCAATATCTGCAAAAACTAAGTGATAACCAGATTACGTTTGTAAGTTTTAAGGAAGCTCTGTGATGTGAAAATCTAATAATAAGTATAAACAATGAAATTGAAGCTACCAGAATAAATAACAATAAGTAGGATTGTGTTAAAAGTTATAAAATGAAGGAAGTTCAGACAAATTGAGGGAAGTCAAAAAAATGGAATTAAGAGGTAATTAAGAAGTTCGAATGTACAACTTTGTTTTCTTTTTTTGTATTTGTAAACCAATAAAAATATAATTTTAAAAAAAAGTGCAAGTAGATTAATAGGTACCGCTCCAGTGGGAAGGTAAACAGCATTTCCGTGCGCTGCTCTGGTTCGCCAGAAGTGGCTTAGTCATGCTGGCCACATGATCTGGAAGCTGTACGCCGGCTCCCTCAGCCAATAAAGCAAGATGAGCGCCGCAACCCCAGAGTTGGCCACGACTGGACCTAATGGTCAGGGGTCCCTGTACCTTTTTACTAAGAAAGGCAGGCGCTCCTCTGCTGCCCTCCTTTACATCTGAACACATTAGAGACAAGAGAAATAGGGAGCCAAAGTAAAAAATGGGGCTTGTGTTGAAGGATGAGGGATACAGTAAGTCCTCACTCTGAAAAATATCAAAGGTGACAAACCTCAAACAACTCGGAATTTGCCAATAACAATCATGTAGAGGGGGAAATGGTGGTTGTCACAGATAGAGCAATGCGGCAAGGGGCATTTAAGGTTCTGCTGCTCAGGGCTATTACAAATCCGATCACAGCATGTCATGAATATCAAAGAGCCAGTGCCCCTGTTTGGCTTTCCATGGGAAGAAAGTCCCATTTCCCTTCAGCTCAGATCTGCCACATTGCCATCTGATTTGGGGGCCAGGTTTTCCAGCAGAGGTGGAGTATTCTCGAATTTCTCAGAGAAAGACATGAAGGAGAAAGAAGGCAGAGAGGAGAGGCCAGGGGTGGCAGAGAGAAAGCGCAGCTCAAGCGAGGGGGGCACTAACACAAATATTCCTCCTTTCCCCTTCAGCCAGGGCTCAACTTCAATCGAAAGGATCACGGAGAGCTATTGGCTCAGTAAAATGCATTTGTTGCAAACGGACAAACTTCAAGAAGAGAAAGAAGAAGAAAAACAATGGGGAGAGAAAGCAGATTCAATTCTTTTCAAAGCAAAAACTTGAAAGCCCACTCTCCAGGCCTGGCCAGTTGCACTGCAAAGCCCCCAATTTCTCCTTCCTGGAGCTCTGGCAGAGAATCAGTACCAAGAGAACAGGCACTCATTACGTTTATAAGAGGAAGGGTGTTCCTTTTCAACAGCCTGGAGGATGGCATCCCCACTTCTGCAAACCAGCCCACTATAGCTCTGGAAATTTGGGTACTTCTAGCCTTACCTACGTGGTGGCGCTGTGGGTTAAACCACAGAGCCTAGGACTTGCCGATCAGAAGGTCGGTGGCTTGAATCCCCGTGACGGGGTGAGCTCCCATTGCTCAGTCCCTGCTCCTGCCAACCTAGCAGTTCGAAAGCACGGCAAAGTGCAAGTAGATAAATAGGTACCGCTCCAGCGGGAAGGTAAATGGCGTTTCCGTGCGCTGTTCTGGTTCACCAGAAGCGACTTAGTCATGCTGGCCACATGACCCGGAAGCTGTACGCCGGCTCCCTCAGCCAATAAAGCGAGATGAGCGCTGCAACCCCAGAGTCGGCCACAACTGGACCTAATGGTCAGGCGTCCCTTTACCTTTACCTTTAGCCTTACGTACCAAGTCTGATGATGCCAACTGGGAAGGGAGAAAAAAGAGAGAAAATGATCCAGCTAAGACAGGACCTTCTCTAAGAGTAAAGCACAGGGCAAGCCCTGCTGTTCAACTGAGTGCTAGAACTGGTATGACAATGTGCTCAGGGCTTTGGGCAGGACTTAGCAAAGCTCCCTTTGTCTTTACCTCACCCATATTTGATGCCAGGTGTAGGGTAGATGGGCACACCTTGGCCAAAATTGCATCATGGACCAAATGGGGAGGCTTGGGAGGCTTAATTAAAATGATGTGCTGGACGTACCTCACCCCTGGCTTAAAGAATAAAGGGCCAGGAACTGTACTATACTCAGAGTTCATTTCCTAAATTCATATTACATATTTATACATATTTCATCCCAGAAGCTTCTATTCTCTCTTTCCCTGTTGTACCTGTCCCCCCTCAAATTCACATACTTAATATTTGTTGCTCAGGTGAATGCACACACCAGCTGATCAAACACACACACACAAACACACCCAATGAAGGTTGCCATGCAATTTTAAAAAGGAAGGGACACATAAAACTAAACTCTAAATTCTAATAATCAATACTGAGCCAAAAGCTAAGGCTACACACATTTTCACAATTTGAGGCATTCAAAACAGCTACGTTCACACAGATGCAGGTAACCTCATATGTCTCTTGGTAGAGCCATTCAGACATTTGCAAATGAAAAAATGAAAAAGTAAATAAATCTGGATCTGTGTGTGTGGTAGTTCAAAACTCAAGAAGCTGCTCTCAACCTCCAAGACTCAAAATCTAGTTTTTGCCCTGAAGTTCAAAACTGGAAGACAAACTGAAGGTCTATAGATTTTTTTGTGTTTTTTTTAGTTTGCATGCATTTGTGTACTGATGTTAGTCCATGTCAGTCTCTGTTGCAACAGCAGCAAAAACTTACACAGTTTCCGTAGGATTTAAGTCCTAACTAAGCCTCCACCTTGTATATTCCCTTTGCAACCCAACCCAACACATGGAATGCATCTCAATTCCCCAAACTCACCCTCTCTGCAAAGATACACCCATACCTGTAGTCATGGAAGATACATACCGGTAATTCCTTTTATGTAAAATATAACATAATGTGTTATACAATCAGTGCTTTTTTCTGGAAGTACTCAAGGGTATGCAGTACGGCACCTTTCCCCCCAAAATGTTTAAAGTGTAGCACTTAATATAACAAGTTCATGGTGACTTCCAGCACTTTTTTTCAAAAAACAAAACAAAAACAAGCACTGGGTATAATACTGCAGGACAAAAACACCTAAAACAGGAGAAAGGTTTTTTTAAAAAACCCTGACAAAATAGGTGACTCTTTCAAATCCTCTGAGATATTAATGGAAATAAGTCCCAAATCTCTCTGACGAGAATTCTGAAGACTCTCAGGTTATCTGTCTTAACTCTTTGGATGCTGATATTTGGGTTGCTTCCACATAGAATCATAGAGTTGGAAGAGACCACAAGGGCCATCGAGTCCAACCCCCTGCCAAGCAGGAAACACCACCATGAGGGCCCTTTAGTGAGCCGTTGGTTTAACATACTCAGCTGGAAGATGAAGTAAAAACATGGCACTTGCTGTACTGTAATATCCCCCATAAAAATCTAGCAGTGCCCATTTCCGTGTGCAATAACCTGCTGTAAGTTTTCTTAGAAGATGGTCCCTTTCCAAGAAAAGCCTTGCTTCTCTCCTTTAATTATTAGGTTCCTGTAATTAGTTGTAAGCAGGTCCTTTACATGAAAGCTACTGCTTCTCCTTGACACTGTCCCTTTAATTAATGCGTCCCTCCTTATCCTTTTCTTTTAAAGCCCCTTGTACACTTGTAATTAGTTGCTTCCTGGTTGTTTGCATAGCTGTGACATTCCTCTGTTGGTTATTTGAATATGTCAGCTGCTTTTACCTGTGTGGACATAATGGATTTATGTGACCATACAACAGGCATAGGCAAACTCGGCCCTCCAGATGTTTTGGGACTACAACTCCCATCATCCCTAGCTAACAGGGCCAGTGGTCAGGGATGATGGGAATTGTAGTCTCAAAACATCAGGAGGGCTGAGTTTGCCTATCCCTGCCATACAACATCAAAATCTGCTGCATAATGGAAGCCTGTAGTTAAAGCTCTACTTTCTTTTTGCAGAGGGACAGAAGCAGAGCACTTACAGGGAAGTTGTGGTCACACAAGTGAACAGGAAGCAATTAATTACAAGGCCAGAATCCCTTTTAAAATAAAATAACAGCATTTCTGAAGAGTCTCAATAGCACTTTGTCAATCCACACCTGGCAATTGGCACTTAAAAATGGCATTTTAAGTTTTAAAAAAATTGAAATCATCACAAATCAAATCTAAAAACAACAACAGGAGGAAGACAACACAGAAAGCAATGGGCTGGCAGCAACATGATTGGATTTCTCTGTAAAAACTCAGTGTACAAAGGACAGAGATTTTACAAAAAAAGACTGTGAAAGTAAGTTAGGAGTCATTTTTAAAAAACCCCAACAAAAACAACAGATCATTTCATTGTGATCTTGTAACACTGTGGTTTTCAAAAGTTGCATTTCATATATTACATTAAGGATATCAAACAGTAAAATTTATATTTTTACATGTTTAGAGTCACGAGTTTCATTATGACTCTATTTACCTTGCAGCACTCCAGCTCAAACGCTGAGAGCTGAAGTAGGTCTCTGCATTCAATTACGGCCCACATTCACAAAGCATTAAAGATGCATTGGCTGCAACTGCGGTGGATGCATGAGATATATGCAGGAGGCAAGGCTACTGGAAAAGTGGCTGGTTTGGTTGGTTTACAACAAAAGCCTGATAAGCAGTCAAAGGATAAGTAAGTGGGGCCCAGATGTTGGAGGTTTTGTGCTTAGCTTGCGACAGAGCAAAAAGACTGATAAAGTATGTGCATACAAGCAGATACAGAATACTTCCAGAATACTTGGTTTTCTTAGCAGCTGTTTCTTTAAAAACAACGCATACCACCCAGGCATGCAAACATTTCTCCAAGGAAAGTTTTTACTTTATTATGGATTTAGATGCAAAGCACAGAGAATGTCTGCTGATGGAAGAGTGAATTTGTACCTCACACTAGAAAACTAAATCCAAGATGGCTCTTAGGAGAATTTCCATAGAATGATTTTTACATTGCTACCCCACCTTTCTTCCATGAAGCTCAAGGCAGAATACATGCCCCCCCCCTGTTTTATTCACGCAACAACCCTCGGAGGTTGATAAGGCTGGGACGCAGCCACTGGCCCAAAGTCATCCACTGAGCTTCATGGCAAAGTGTGGGATTTGAACCCTGCTCTCTCAGGTCCTAGTCAACACTCCAGCCATTATGCCACACTAGTTCTGTGTGGTGCCACTCATGTTGGTGCTTTGCAAACACTGTGCAAACAGGTACCCTTGTACAATGGAAAGGTTTTTAAGGCTATGCAAAACGTTATTCATAAAGTTGTATGTGTTTAACTCGTTTTGAAGAAGATAGTTGTTTTTAAGTGCATAAACTGAACTGGACATTGCTATGTCCAGTTTGCACAAGAACATAGAAAGCTGTCTTTCTGTGTCCAACGTTTTAGCTGTTTAATATTCAAACTGCTTAGCTGCCTATCCTAGTAAGGTCTCCTCTGGCTGCCAGTAGCTCTCCAATATCTAAGCCTTCCCAACCACCTTCTACCTAAATATTTTTGAATGGACCACCTATATGCAAAGGATGCACTCTGCCGCCAAGCTATGGAACTTATCCAGGTTGGACCAAGTTAGGTGTGTTTCTACCTTTGCTTAGCGGTGTTTCTGCTTAGTGTGAGTCACACTTTCCCCTGCTCACTCTTCGCTTTGCTCACTCCATCATATTTCAACAGATGGTGCAGCAGATCAAGCATCATTGACAGATTCCTTTTGGATCCAATCCCAGGATACCCTGATCCTGCAGGGGCAGGAATCTCCAGTTCAGCCTCACATTTCCTTGCGTGCCCCCTGCCAGTTCTCCCTCCCACCTTTTAATTATTGCTTCTGCGCAGCAGAACAGCCATTAATGGAAGAACTCCAAGCAGCGCATGGGGAAAATTTATGGGCCCCCTGATTTACTTAGCCAACCAGCAGCTTTATTGATTTTTATTTAGGAGAATAATTAAATATTTATTTTCACTTTGTTAAGCTCAGGAGGTCGAAGCCCACATAAAGCAGAACAGCGCACAAGCAAGGCAAGATCAATGGCTTGTGGTTTGGGGAATATTTGACCTCGTCCAGACCTCACACAGGTGGCTTGGCCAAGCCTCCCTAGAGCAAAGCAGCTGGGATCACCTTCCTGGTTGGTTTTTCCATGGGTGGGTATAAGCAACTGGCCACAGACCACCAGTTGGATAATAGTTGAATGAACTGTGCTTCATTACACTTGGTGAAATCCCACAGCAAGTTACAGGGCAGCCTTCTTTGTGTTGGATATATGGCTGGTCCCAGCATACAAAACCAATGAACTGGGATCTGTTGAAGGAGGCTATGCATCAGATCCTTTCAAACAGCCAGTGGGAAAATATAGCATCCATCAGAAATGGATGCCCAGATTCTATTTAAGTATCTCCAGCAAAGATCCAGGCACTTTGCTCCATTACTGAGTAACTTTTACATTTAGGAAGTTTCTCAGACTATTTAGCCTGGTTCCTGCCTCCCTGCCATTTCTCTACCGATTGGTTCTAGCCCTGCCCTTTGGAGCAAGATAGAGAACATGTTGAATCAAACCATTGGCTTAGCTGGCCAAATGCTCTCAGAAGATAAGAAGCTGCCTTATACCATCAAGCTCAGTATTGTCTGCACTGGCAGTGGCTCTCCAAGGTTTCAGAAAGGAGACATTACCTGTCCTACCTGGAGATGCCAAGAACTGAACCCAGGACCTTCTGCATTCACTGAGCTGTGGCACTTCCTAGGAATCAGTCATTGCCCAGGAATCTCCATTGCCCAGGAATATTTTTGGGTGGAGATTGAAGCCAGGACTTCCTTCTGCAAGCAGGGCATGCACTCTGCCCTTGAGTTATAACACACACACAAAAGGTGGTTGTGTATTATCCTTTGGGTACCTGCACCAGAGGAATCTGGAAAGCAGCAAAGGGGAACAATTCCCAGCATGGAACCAAGCACAGCTGCAGATGCTCTCTGCTTGGAGCCTTAACCTGGAGCGGGGGGGGCGACAACAGAGAGATGTTTCGCTGGTAATTTATGGACAGTTCTTTCATTCCATAAAGCTACCATCTGTCAGTGTGCTGCATCTAGTATGTGTAAAAGCCGTCAGCTTTTTGCCTCCAAGGCCAATGAGCCTCTTGCAAAGAGACCCCCTACACACACACACACACACACACACACACACACACCTGCTCACCCCAGCAGTTGAGTTGGGAAGACCAACATTAGTGAACCCAGAGAATTCTAATAGGGTGGGAATCAGAGAAGGGGCTCAAAAATAGACAGATTGCATGAAACAGCCAACGGAGTTTGCCCCATCCTTCCTCATGCCCAACCTTTATTTCAAGATACCTACAACTTACAAAACATTAGATATTGGAGAAAGCAAGCAACCTCCTTTTTCTTTCTACTGCCAGGGTAGAGCAGCCTTTCAGTAGAGCAGGAATTGCAACCTGTGGCCCTCCAAGAGTTGATGGCCTCCAACTCCCATCATCCCCAACCAGCATGGCCAATGGTCAAGGGTGATGGGTGTTTGTAGTCCAACGCCATCTGGAGGGTCCCAGGGTCCCAACCATGGCTGTAAAAGCTGGCGTGCAGCTGACTGGCCTTCTCAGTTGTACAACCAAAGCAAGTGGCTGTACTGTCACTTCCTCCTCATTAAAAAATGTAGCTGGCACCAGAAAATAAAATCCACACCACACACTATGTAGATCAATGGTGGGGAGCCTCAACACCAGGGGCCATATGCAACCCTCTAGGCTTCATTATCTGGCCCTCTGGACTCTCCTCATACTATACCCCTCTTCAACCCTGTCTGCACCCTCCCTGGGTGTTTTGGCCTGGTTAGAATGTGTCCGTAACTCCGATGATGCCTTTTGCTTGCCTGGTTAGGCAGACAGACATGAGTGTCCATGGAAACAGCCTGGTGTATAAAACTAACATTTCCATTTGTTGATCCGCCCATTTTGGTCTCTGGTCCCACCCACCACTGACCTGTGACCATTGGAAGGTTGCTCACCCATGCCATAGATCAGAGGGCAGGAAATTGCTTAGGTCCAGTCGGCTGAGATATTCAGAGCAAGAGATATGCTACTTCTTCACCCAGCCAAATGGCCTTGTGGAGGACTGTCAGGCAAATCACATCAGAAAGCAGCCTGGCAGACTTGGGTCTGCCTACAGGGAGTTCCATTTAAACCATCCCATCCAGCTCAGCTCTCTGCTCTTCAAGCTAACTGCAGCTCTGTTCCTCGGCAGAGGGAGGTTGGCTATTTCCCCCGCCCCACCTCCTTCCCAGCTATGCCTAATCCCTCCCACGCACACGTGTGTGCATGCACACACACACGCAGAACTGGGCTCCCATCCAAATCTCTATTGAAACCAGCAGGAGGCTTCCCTCCCCACCTTGCAACCACTTGAGTGGATTGTAATTCTTGGAGCTGCTGGTGGGGAATGAATGGATCAGGCAAGAGTGCTGAAGAACAGCTCCCTGTGAGACTCAGCAGGGAAAACCAAGAAGCAAAAGCACAAATTACAGTCCTGTGCACAAGGAAGAGCACGCTCACAAGTGCAACTGCCCCCCTTTTTTCTTCTGCCATCTCCCCCACCTCATTAAAGTCTTCTGAAACGGGCCCTTCTGAAAGGGATCATATGAAGGGGAAATGCCAGAGCGGAGGGCAAGCTAATCAAAGATCTGCGTCTCTTTGCCAGAGTCAGTTTCAGTGCAACCAAAACATCAGGAGAGTTAATGAAATGCCTCACTGGAGGAAGAAGACCAGAGATTTCCAAGGCACAAACTTCACTCCTCAACTGCCAAGGGCAGAAAACCTTATTGGAACAGTTCCTTATTGGAACTGCACCTCAGCTTTGGCAAAGCAGATCCAAGTTTCACGCATACAGTCAGTCATCTCTCATCCCTACCTTTGTTCCTGCATCTTTGTCAGCCTCAGACTGGCAAGCATTTAGCCTGGATGCCAAGCTGCTCTGCCATCCTCATCGAAACCCCGGCTTTGCACATGCTCACATCACACGCCCACACTTAAAGGGAATGTGCAACAATGTAGCTGAACCACCAACGTGTCGGGTTTGTCAGGTCCTGGGGAAAAACACGCCCACCAGCAGGGAAACAGAATGCCAACATGGCACTGCTTCTGCGAGTTCACTTTCCTTTAAAAGATGGAATAATAAAGGAACATAGAAAGCTCCTTATACTGAGCGACACAACTGATTTGTGTGACCACCGGTTCTTAGCAAATAAACTTAACTGACAGTACACCTCTGGCAACAGCTCTCTTGGGGTTCCAAGCAGAGGTCTATCCTTGCACTACCTGGGAATGTAAGGGATTGAACCCAAGCCCTTCTCCATGCAAAACAGATGTTCTGTCACTGAGCTACAGCACATCCTCCAGAGTTACGGTGTTTCCCCTTTATTTGTAATATACGAGTAGAGCATATATGGAATCAAACGGAAGGTGCTCCTACTAGATAGGAGAACTGCTACCCCACACTGGATTTCTGGCGAGGCTCTGCACCCCAAAGTACCTTTGCTAAACTCACCTCTCTCTCTCTCTCTCTCTCTCTCACTCCAAACTGATGTTTCTTAATACATGCACCTGCCCTCTTCTTTTAGCTGTGGGGGGTGACGCAACAGGCTGCTACACTTCTATAATTTATTATTCATTTGGGGACATTTCTCCACAGTCCAGTGGTAGAAAATTAGCTGCCGCCACAGGCACAGGCTCTGGCCTGGGGCAAGGCGCTGGCTCAGTTTTCTACCAGTAAAACGGGAACAAGAGTGATCCACGACACAGGGCTGGTGTGAAGATTAACAAACCCCATGCATTAAGCGCTTTGAGAATTTTAAGTCCTACCCAAAGAACAAATGGCAGAAGCTGCCATTAACCATTTAAAGGAGGGCTCTGTGGGAAAATCAGGAGAAGGCACAAGAGAGAAATGTGTTGATCAATATACACAGGGTTGTGTGGTACTTACTTATTTTAGATGCTGCCTTTTTTGCACCCTCCTTTAAAAAGATATTTAGGGACATATAGGGGGTTGGACTAGATCACCCTTGGGCTCCCAGCTCTACAATTCTATGGTTCTGTTTTCCTATATTTGCATAGCTTTCACCCTCTGTAATACACTCATTCAATAAGAGTCCACTGGGAATAACATCAACCATGGTGATGGAAGTTCAGCAGGCTGCTGATTATATTATTATTATAATATTCAAGCCTGCTGGACATGCTTCAGTCTTTCACTCCTGCTCCTTTGCTCTCCTATTGTGCTGAATCACTTCCTGGTTGCTGTTCCCTCTGCCTGCATCTTCCCTTTGTGTTGCTGAGTAAATGCCCCCTCCAGCCCCAAACACCCTAACTCTCTTATTTAGTTCTTCCAACAACGATTTACAGTTTGTATATCGTGGTTCTCAGATGAATAGGGAGCATGACAGGACAAATGCAAAGGTCAGGTTAAGAACTGGAGAGAGGAAAAGACTTTCTTTCCAGCCAGCTCTCCTTGCTCTTGAGGAGACCTTTTCCTGCCCTTGGAGCTGCGGTGGGGGGAAGTACCGGCAAGACCTTCAGTTGAAGAATATCTAGGTGGAACATCAGAGCTTGTTGGACTCCCAATTGCCTTGCCTCCTGTGGACTTACCCCACACAAGGGAGGTTGCAGGCCATGACCTAAGAGATGTAAGACTGCAAGCACACTATACATTTAAAGCACACAAGCGCATGTTGAGATTCCTGCATTGCAGGGGGCTCAACAAGATGACCCTGGGGTCCCTTCCAACCCCACATTTCTATGATTCCATGACTCCCCCCAAATAATCTTTGGAACTGTAGTTTAGGGGTGCTGGGAATTGTATCTCTGTGATGGGTAATCTACAGTTTCCAAGATTCTCAAGGGGCGGTGTGTGTTTTAAATGTGCTTTAAATGTATTGCTTGCACAAAGCTGTAATTGTGCAAAGGTCACCTGAGATGTTCTTGAAGACGAAGGAAAAAAACAATTATCTCGTCTGTCCACACAAGTGTTATAAGAGGAATGTCCAGCAGTGGGTGACAATCCAAGGCTCCAGCGACCTGTCTCAGCTCTTCACGAGGAGGCCAAAACATCATAGCATTGTGCATTTATGCACATCCAGTGTGCTGAGTGCAATGTGTGGACATGGGCAAACAATGCCTTCTGTGTCATCCTACACCATGGTAGCATTTTATTCACCCTTACTTGGGGTTTGTGTTACGCACTGGACACCATACTCTGGGCCTTAGGCTTGCATTAGCAAGAAACCAGAGAGTCACATGAGTCTGTGTGGCATGGCGCATGCCTGGCTGCCTGGTGCTGATGGTTTCCTTCGCTCAGCCTGTGTGTTTCCACGGCAACAGAAGCAGCACAGGCTCACTCCTTGCATCAGGAATGCCTGTAATTAGATCCACGGCCACAGCTGTCAATCCTCGTTTAACAGCCTCCCATTTAACTCCTCGCTCCAGTAATTAGGGTTTACTAAACAGAATGTCAGGCAATTAGAACAGCAGGTCAATCGCTTTCCATGTAACCTCTTTTAAGGCAGGGTGTAAGCTTCCTCCAGCAAGCTCCAACCAGGGGCAGGGGCACCCTAAGGTGCCTGGTGGGAGCAACAAACCGAGAGGAGTAGAAGGGCTCTTGAGCTCCTCTGAGGCTGAGCCCGTTGCTGCTTGCATCTGAGACATGGCATTTGCTCCTTGAGTTTGCAGTCATGAGTGACACAGTAATTATTCTCGATACAAAAAGTGACCTAAAAACTGCCAATGCTCAGAGCCAATTTGAACATGGGGCTGGGGCAAGAAATGTCATCTAGCAGGGGTGGGGAACATGTGACCCTCCAGAAGATTGCTGGCCTTCAACTCCCATCAGTCCCAGCCAGCATGACCAATGGTCAGAGACAATGGGAGGGCCACAGACTCAGCACTACCACTACCAGCACCTAGAAGATTGGCTGGGCTGAAGTGGGCGCTCACACTCAGCAGCAGTGGTGGCAAGTGTCCACTGGCCGTGGTAGGGCAGAAAATTGGGAGGCCAACAGTAGGTGGAGCCAGAGGCAATGACAGGCAGATCCAGAGTCTATGGAAAGTGGAGCTGCTCCCTGACTGATTGTAAGACAGCAAGCAGGTGGGAGGACTGGCTGAGTGCAGGTTAAGGTTGGTGGACCAGTGTCCCATTTACCCTAATGGAACTGCCTCTACTGGCTGGCATGAAATTGAATGGGGCATAAAACTGAGCTCAGTAGCTCAGTATCTGTTGAGTTTATGCTGCACTGGGATAGAGCAAAAAAAGAAACAAACCCAGCAGTCAATGTCTTTGAACTTTTTTCAAAGTCCTGCAGGTTGCTTGGGTACCCATTACAAAATGAATTTCCATCCATTAGCTTTAAGGCTGTGTTTCTCTTCCCGGTTTCCAATTTGATGCCATTTGTTCTAGATAAAAATCAGCAGAGGACGGCTTCACTTCAGAGGCTGTCCTAACCAAGCATGATAAGCACGACAGATTCTGCAAATGCTATCAGCACCATAAAAAATTAAGGGAAAGGATCCAAAAGGTGTGCATGGCAAGAGGTCAAATTCAGAACTGGATCAGTGCTGGCGTGTGGGGCTCTCAGCAGATGCCCAGGTGTTCCAGTCCTTGATGCCAGCCTTGCCTGCTGCAATCTTGCACAAGGCACATAGCTTGGCAACACTGCAGAACTTAGCATGGAGGGTTGTGTGGGCAAGACATTCTTCACCCTGGGCACAACAACAAAAAACTTTCCTGACCTATTGCAAAGTACCAAGAGATCTACAGGCCATCCTGATTTAACCTCTTCCATCCCGAACACCATAGTGATGCGGGTGGCTTGCCGATCAAAAGGTCAGCGGTTCGAGGCCCCACAACTGGGTGAGCTCCCGTTGTTCGGTCCCAGCTCCTGCCAACCTAGCAGTTTGAAAGCATGCCAGTGCAAGTAGATAAATAGGTACAGTTCTGACAGGAAGGTAAATGGCGTTTCTGTGCGCTGCTCTGGCTTTGCTAGAAGCGGCTTAGTCATGCTGGCCACATGACCCGGAAAAAACTGTCTGCGGAAGCGGACAAACGCCAGCTCCCTTGGCCTGTAAAGCAAGATGAGCACCACAACCTCAGAGTTGTTCGCAACTGGACTGAAACGTCAGGGGTCCCTTTACCTTTATCCCCAACACCATAAAGATCTATGAAATATATCTCTTCTTGTTTTATTTATTGCCAAGTTTGTTATCATATCTGCATGCCGAGGTTTATGACGACAGGTTCAAACTCCAACATCCCCACTTACGGTAGTTAAGTTCCAGAGCTGGCTATGACCTCAGGCTGATATTTTGAAGGAAATTGCTACCAGTCTGAGGCGTTAATATGGGCCTATCAGTGTCGAGAACCACTGCCGTGGTTAAATAAGTAGATCCTTAATCACAAAGAAGTTGACAGTCCCCCATAAAAATGTATAGGAGTCACTGCCAGGTTTTTCTCTCTGGTGCATTGTGGGACATCTTCTGGGAATCCGTGTGTGCCTGGAAACCTCCTTGACGGCAAAGCACCATCATATAAAACAGCCAGATTAAAAGGATATCTGAACAATAAACCGAGCTAAATGGATGACATCATTTGAGTGGCACAGAATGATTTACCAGTTTGGGTAAGAAAGGAGTGAAATGTATTCCCACTGAGTACTATTATTTGCACACCACAGTGGTTCCCTCGCCCTTCCATATTATCCTGGGGACCCAAACTTGACCCACCAGTACAGATGCCCCCTTTGGGGCCCCAGGCCTTGACACCCACTTTGACCATAGCTTTACCATTGAGCAATGTCTACCCTGCAAGCAGGAGGTCCCAGATTCAATCCCCGCTGGCATATCCAGGAAGGGATGGAAGAGATTCCTGCCTGAAACCCGGGAGAGCTACTGCTGGTCAGTGTAGACCAGGCATAGGCAAACTTGGCCCTCCAGCTGTTTTGGGACTACAACTCCCATCATCCCTAGCTAACAGGACCAGTGGTTAGGGATGATGGGAACTGTAGTCTCAAAACATCTGGAGGGCAGAGTTTGCCTATGCCTGGTGTAGACAATAGGGAGCTAGAAGGACCAGTATTCTGACCCTGTATAAAGCAGCTTACTGTGTTCCTGTCCCTCCCGCTTGCCTGTTCCCCTTGCCATTCTAAGCAGTAGTAGGGCTGGGGCTGGAAGTCTGCTGGCCAATATCCCAGAATGCCTTGGGGCACCAAAGAAAGTGCTGCTCCAGGGCATTGTGGGAACTGTAGAGGGCAGGTAGCTTCTGAGATCCAGTCAAACTGTGTGCGGTGGGGCAGGAGGGAACTTACTGATAGGCACCCTGAGGAGAGTTTAGCTCCAAATAGAAGCCAGCCCTTTCCTGGAGTTTGAGGCTTTGCTCCACCTTCACGGGGGGCTCACCTTCCAAAAACTGCCATACAGACCAAAATTCTATACTTTTGAACCTGTCATTTCTGGTTTGTTTGGTTTTTGGCCACACTGAGGAGCTATGTAAAAGGGAGAAGAGGTTCGATTTGAATAACCATCTTGGTCCTTACGATGATGCGCCCACTGGGTGCTGACTCATGACAGGACTTCTCGGTAGTGGTTCCCTGTTTGTGGAAGGCCCTCTCAGTTGAGGTGCATCCATCTCCCACATGATTAACATTCAGCAGGAATGTCAAAACATTCCTGTTCACCCAGGCGTTTGATGGCTGAAAGATACTGTTACTGGCAACGTATTAGCTGCGAGGGTCTGAGAAATGCTTTCAGATGTTTAAAAACCTTTCCACTGCTTCTTAAAACTTGCCTGGTTTTGTTGTTTGCCACCTGGGAAGTTAGGAATTTAATAAATAGCTGAATAATTGCCAGGTAATCACACTGAAGCCCCAGTTTCACATATAGCCAGTAGCCCAGGTGCCCGTACCTGTCAAAAATTCTCTCACAGTGCAATCCTATGCTTACATGGGAGTAGAGATGGGTTGGGGGGGAGCTCAACTCACTTAAAGGCACATCTATTAAATTTGCACTATCTGAACCAATATGAGAACCAGCCACAATTTGAAAGTTACACTTATCCAAATTCTGCAGCGCAGTTCTCCAATCAATGCTTCTAAAAAATTACAGAAACGCATCTATTACGGGAAATTGTGTATAACAATTAATATATTACTAAAAATAAAAAACAAAAATGCTGGTTAATGCTGGTTAATTTTTATGAGGGTTTTTTAAAAAACAAAAAACAAAAACCCAAAGATTGCAAATTAATACAGAAATGTGAAAAACTGAATTTAAGAATGGAAAAATGAGAGAAACAGAGAACAAAAATTGACAGGCCCTCCCAACTCTGCCTGGGAGTGAGTCCCATTCAGTTCAGTGGTGCTTACTTCTGAGTTCATAGCTGTAGGACTGAACTATTAGCATGGCATTCTGAAAATTTGCTTCATTCTACCTGCCAGAGATCTGAGCCGCTTACAAAAATAAATGCAATAAAGCCAGCATGAAACCCATTAAAAAAGTAACTGTATCACATGAGTAATAGAAACAGGCTTTTTGAATCCATAAAATACACATCTCCGTCTCTGTTTGGGATATATTTCAGTAGTACATCCAGGTCCTAAAGACCATATGGTTGGAAATAGCTGGCCTCTGATGTTACCCTGGAGCTTTGCAGGTAGACACATCAGAGTTCCTTTAGCTGTCATTGGCTATGTGATGTCAGGGAAGCAAGGCAGAATTAGAACTGGAATTCTAAAGTCAATGGAATTAGTAGAACAAAGTTTGATTCTTCCCTAACACCGCTTGCCTTTATGTGGCACATGTGACTAATAAAACTGGGAGGGTTGGCTAATATAATTTTTTGTAGGCTAGCAGCAGTCGTGAACTTCCTTGAAGGCTGAATGAAGGGGCTGGGGGGCCCTGCTGCAAGTTCTCTTTCTTCCTGAGATCTTAACGCAATGGTCAATCTTACCAATGGATAACTAGTTAACATCTTGCATCTGTACCAGTGTTACAAGTTCCCCAACTACCATTCTGTACTGGAAGTGACTGGCAACAAAGCACCAACATGAGTACATGAGTACAATGTGACCAGATCCCTGCTGGGTGATCCCTGCAAATCACCACCTTTCACCTTAACTTGATTTAATGGTGTAAACTGCCTTGATGGGTTTTGTCATTTGGCAGTATAGAAATACTTTGATAAACAAATAAACCTACTCTTGCAAGGTTGTTCTGCAGGGCAAATGGGAAGGGGGTGAGCGTGTACCCCTTCTTCGGGGCAAGGGTGGGGATGAAAGTGAAAGGAAAAGCAAATCATAGATAGCTTAGGGGAAGTAGCTTAATGACAGAACACAGCTTTGACATAAATACTGTCCCCAAGGCTTGATCCCTGGGCATCTCCTGGTAAGACTGCGAAAGACAGGTTTCTGAAACCCCGGAGAGGTGCTCTAAGTGTAGAGCAGGGGTGGGGAACTTGTGCCCCATCACAGAGGATCTGCCTTGCCTGCAGAAGGTCCCATGTTCAAGCCTGGGGCTGTTGGGGGTGGGAGTATTGCTTGATGATGGTGGTGATGTTATGCATTTTTTGTTTTTATGTTGTAAACTGCCTCACGATCTTCAGATGAAGGGCAGTATAAACATTTAATAAATAATAATAACCCCCAGCATCTCCAGAAAGGGCTAAGGACTAGGAACCGAGGTAGCTCCATTGGTAAAGCATGAGACTGTAATAATAATAATAATAATAATAATAATAATAATAATAATAATAATATATTATTTATACCCCGCCCATCTGGCTGAGTCTCCCCAGCCACTCTGGGCAGTTCCCAATCAAATGTTAAAAACAGTACAGCATTAAATATTAAAAACTTCCCTAAACAGGGCTGCCTTCAGATGTCTTTTAAAGATAGGATAGCTGCTTATTTCCTTCACATCTGAAGGGAGGGTGTTCCACAGGGTGGGCGCCACTACCAAGAAGGCCCTCTGTCTGGTTTCCTGTAACCTCACTTCTCGCAATGAGGGAACCGCTAGAAGGCCCTCGGCGCTGGATCTCAGTGTCCGGGCTGAATGATGGGGGTGGAGATGCTCCTTCAGGTATACAGGACCGAGGCCATTTAGGGCTTTAAAGGTCAGCACCAACACTGTTAATCTGAGGGTCATGTGTTCGAGCCCCACATGAGGCAAAAGATTCCCACATTGCAGCGGGTTGGATTAGATGACCTTCATGGTCCCTTCCAACTCAATGATTTTGACACCCAGGACAGCTGCTGCCAGTCAGTTCAACAATACCAAACTAAGGCAAATCAATGGCCTGACTCATTATAAGGCTGCTTCCTATGCCTGGTGTCCTCTTAAGAGGCAATGGTTGGAAGAAATCTGTTATCACTGTTCAGCAACTAGGCACCCAATGCTGCTATGATGGTGGTGGTGATTTATTAGACGCCCTTTGCCCCAAGGTTGCAGGGGAGATTACAGCAACTAAAACATAATATTAAAAACAGTTTTAAAGTACTTAAGCGCCACAGAAATAAAGTGGGTGCTAAAAATATCTCTCTCAAGCATCAAAAGCCAAAGTAAAGAATATTTGCTGAAAGCTGTATTGTGAAAATGCCAGATGTACCTCTGTGGGGCCCTGACACTTAGGGACTGTCGCAGAGAATGCCCTCCCCTGGGCCTCCACGCCTTGAGCTTCTGAGGGTGCTGGAACAACCAAGACGGACACCCAGGAGAGTCTCTTGGGAAGGAGGCAGTTCTTCAGGTATCTGGGGACATTTAAGGCTTTAAGAACGTACATTAATAATGATAATTATGAGACTAGAAATACAACTAATAATAATGTACTGCGCATCCAATGAGAAAGCTGGGAGATCCGAGCTATGCTACAAGCACAAATTAGTTCTAAATTGATTTAATTGCATGGATTTTCCTTAGCAACCTTGGGAATCATAGTTCTGCAAAAGTGCAGAAAATGGTATATGTTAATGATCCCTACCCCTTAATGCAGCGACATTTCCCAAGCGTTTACTTGGAGGAGAGCATTAACAGTTAAACTGGTGTAAAGATGCAGGGCATCCATGGCCCAAGCTTCCTTCAATCAATCTGGGCATGTTACTATTTCTGCTAACTCAAGCCTCTTTTACTCCCTGGGTGTAGCTTAATGGAAAGGCTCACAATAGTTGGTTTGCTTATTGATCTGGCATCTTCATTTTGCAGTCCCTGACTCCACAGTACCGTGCCCTTGGCATAGTCTAGCCAATGGGCACCCCTTGCCAATGTCTCTGCTGCCAGCGCCACCATCCCCAGCTGCCATGCCCACTGGCATCTGGACTCCCCACCACCACCCCATGACGTGGTCCTCCTTGCAGCAGCCATGCTATCCTCTTGCTTTGCACCACAATTGTGGTAGCCCTGGCAAGTTTCTTTGCCACCTCTGGGCTCTAAGAAAGAACAAAAGAGGGGTCCTTCTGGATGAGGGGGCATAGGAGAATGCCTGTGCTGATACCATGGTGGCCAGAAAAGACTTTCTTAAGCTTAGAATATTCACCAGCCCTGCTTTGCACCCTGCTGGAGTATTTCTGCTGAGCTGGAATATGTCCCAGAACTCAGAAATGACTCTTGCCCAGACAAAGGACAGAGAGGTATGTTAGAAACTCAGATATATAAGCTAGGTGCTAAATCTAGGTTACGGCCACCACAGCGGAATGTCTATTTGCCAGGGGGTTGGACTAGACGACCCTCAGAGTCCCTTCCAATGCTACGATTCTATAATTCTGTGATCTCAACTACATTGCTTGACTGTAACATGCCTCTTACAACAATTCACTTGTCCCAGTATGCAAGAAGGAGAAACACACACAGTGGAAATGGAAATGGCAATAACTATGGAATAACTATGGGCAGAGGTTTGTAAACTGTGGTCGCCAACCCGATGCCCAGAAATCTCCACATAGTTGCAACTGGACCCAAACCAGGAGCAATGCACTCCTGGCTAATTTCTAATGCCGTGTAGAAACCAAGCTGCTGTACAAAGGTAAAAACAAAAACGAAACCCTGCATTCATTGCTCCACCCACTTTTGCATCTGGCCCCACCCACCACTGGCATATGACCCCTGGAAGATGGTTCAGGAAGGAATGCAGGCCCGAAAGGCTTCCCCAGCTCTGTGTGATAGTTTCTGCTTCTCTCCTACATAGAAAGCCTTCAAGCTTCTCACACCCTCCAACCTTCCTCAGATGAAAATAAGGACATATTCTACATCAGGCATTCCCAACCTCGGCCCTCCAGATGTTTTGGGACTACAACTCCCATCATCCCTGACCACTGGTTCTGTTGGCTAGGGATGATGGGAGTTGTAGTCCCAAAACATTTGGAGAGTTTTGGGGGATGCCTGTTCTACATCAATGTCCCCCCTCTCCACACCTCCTCCGCTGAGGGTGGGGAGGGAAGCAGACCCAGCAACTGAACGAAGCAAGACAGAGCCAAGTGATCATAATGGTCGCTTTTCTGCACCCACAACCCCTCAGCACCCCTTGCTGCCTCGCAGATGGGCCCTGTTCCCCTGGCTCCCCCACCCACCACTTTCTTTATGGGAGACTAACCAACTGAGGAGCAAGGAAACAGCAAAAAACATGCTGTGGGCATCCAAGTGATCCGGAACTTGTTTTCGTAAAAACAGGAAGTGGTGCCATATTGAGAGGGGCGGGGAAGGGAGCAGGAGGCACAGATCTAAGAAATGTGTTAGAGGGATGAATGGATATGAACGTCCTGTAACACGTTGAAATACTGTACTGAAAGGAAGGTCCCTCTGGAATTTGGGACTGCGTGAAAAAGTGAGAAGCTGTGATGGCTCAGGGTTTTGATTATGATTCCTGTATTTTGGGGGTAGTTGGAGGGTATGTCTTCTAACCATATTCCAGCTGCATGCAAATGCTTGCATTTTGTCTGACTTCGATTCAGTTACATAACTAACATCCAAACTCTCTCAATGGCCAGCGTTCTGCTCCTCAGGCTGTTTTACTCTAACTGTCCACATGATATACACGAGGCTCATAATCTGTGGGCGATGATGGACGTTCCTCTTTCCCCCCTCATTATTGATCTTGTTTGGTCCTTATGTTGCTTGCAATTTCTTCCTTTTGGCTGTTATATTTTTATCGCAAAACAAAATATGGTGTGTGTGCATTTTTTTTTTAAAAAAAAAATTACATTCCCAGACCTGATTTTGTTTTACCACCACTGAATTTTATAGCACAATTTTGATGGTGGGGATAGCATGTTGGTGGGGTAGAGAGATGACAGAAGGCCTGGGAGGAGAACAGCAGGTATGGATGCCAGGGGACTTAAGTCAGCTATCCAAACAATATTCTAGCCGAGAACTTCCTTCTCATACTAAAATTAAACAGAAACAAACCATGCAGGGAGCCCCTGAAAAGGTATACAACTCTGACTTCAGAAAAGAACTGGATGGGGGGAGGCGAGTTGTTGTGGGAGAGAAGAGCATGTGTGGTATAGTGGTTAAGAGCGGTGGACTTGTAATCTGGTGAACCGGGTTCGATTCCCTGCTCCTCCACATGCAGCTGCTGGGTGACCTTGGGCTAGTCACACTTCTTTGAAGTCTCTCAGCCCCACTCACCTCACAGAGTGTTTGTTGTGGGGGAGGAAGGGAAAGGAGATTGTTAGCGGCTTTGAGACTCCTTCGGGTAGTGATAAAGCGGGATATCAAATCCAAACTCTTCTTCTCCCCATGTGTCTTTCTGGCTACATAAGTTACATTCCCCATTGCCAGCATTTGCTTGGTCAACTGGAGAGAGAGAGCAATTAGATCTAGGGGGTGGAACCTAGGGCATGATACCTCATTGGCAGATTCTAAAACCTGAAGGGTGTCGTCGATATACAGCTACAGAAACATATAAGCAGGTGACACTGTCAGTGGTGTGTACCCTCCCCAAAAGAAAAAAGATCAAATCAGAATTATGCACCAACATAAGCCAAGCAACACCCCAAAGAAAGCTGATTTAAAAGAAAAAGAAAAACTGGATTATGCTATCTGAGTAAATTATGCAAATGAAGCCAATTTGCATATTGTTTTGCTTCTGCTTGTCGTGTGGAAGAGAACATAAGAACAGCCCAGGTCAAAGTCCCATCTATTCCAGCTTTCTGTTCTCCCAGTGGCCAGCCAGATGCAGATAAGACATGAGCAAAACAGTTTTCTACCCAGCTGTGATTTCCAGCAACTAGTATTCAGAGGCATACTGCCTCAAATAGTGGAGGCAGATCGTAGACACTGTGGCTAAGAGCCACTGGTAGTCTTCTCCTCCATGAATATCTTTAATCCTCTTTTAACCCACCCAAATTTATAGCCGCTGACACATCTTGAAGGAACAAATCTCATCGTTTAACTTACTGTGTGAAGAAGTAACCTCCTTTGTGTGCAGTGAATCATCAGCTGCATAATATGGGCCAAAATTCTAATATTATAAGAGAGAAAAGGACCTCCTTCCCTGTAATCCCATATATATATATAATCTTCATCCTATTTTCCTGATGCTTAAAAAAAATACGTAGAAGCATTGTGTGTTTCCTGGGTATGTAAACAGGGCTTGCCGTACAGACAGATTTTCCTGGACATTACTGGGGTTTCAAAGGTGAAATTGACATCTGGTGAAAACTTCCGAAAGGTGGCGCTTTGTCTGGATCTTAGACAAGTCAATTGGAAAATAGTGGGGGTTTTGGCGTTTTTGTTGGGGGGAAAAAGCTCCACAATTTCAGTGGTTTCCTTTAAAAAAGCTCGACAATAAGAAAGCTGAGATTCCCAGGAATGTAGATTCTTTGTCAAATTCCGTGCTTTCTCTGTGCTTGCTTTGAACGTCCAAACCTACCCTTTGTGGCCAAAGCTATTTCGCAGGACACAGGCTTGGAGCATTTGGGTGGCAGTAATAATCAGATAAGGGGTGGGCAGCTAATTTGCGTCACTCCAGGTATTGCTGGACTACAACTCCCATCATGCACTGCAAAGGGATTTGAACTACATGGCCCTTCCAACAGTATTATCATTGCACCATTACAAAACCTGCCACACTTGCTAAAATACTTTCTTCTGCTAAACTATTAAAGGTGCAGGAGTCTTCTTTTCCATCAGGTAACCGTGTCTCTGGGTCGCTGACTCCAACCAATCTGCCCTTGCCATTTTGGGTTCATCTGACTTTACCCTCTACTACCAATCTACTAGAGGAGTGGGGACCCTATCTCCTTCTTCTGAACGGATCGTCCTATCTCTAAATCACTTACTGCAACCAACCTGGCCCTGTGGTCTTGGATTCATCTGGCCTCACACTTTTCAATGTCCTTTCAAGTTAAATAGACCAAAAATGCTAGATGGCTATCAATATACTCTTTTAAGGTACAGTGGTACCTCTGGTTACGTACTTAATTCATTCTGGAGGTCCGTTCTTAACCTGAAACTGTTCTTAACCTGAAGCACCACTTTATGGGGCCTCCTGCTGCCGCCGCACCACCACTGTGCAATTTCTGTTCTCATCCTGAAGCAAAGTTCTTAACCTGAAGCACTATTTCTGGGTTAGCAGAGTCTGTAACCTGAAGCGTATGTAACCTGAAGCGTATGTTAACCCGAGGTACCACTGTATTTTACTTTGTTTGTTAGCAGCTTCCTAGGCAACCAGATACAGTGGTACCTCGGGTTACATACGCTTCAAGCAACGGCACTACAGTACTAGTACAGGCAAAGCCTTTGGCAATGTTGCTGTTGCCACTTGGAACTAGGAACTAAGAACCCACAACATCTGTAGTGAAGGATGCTAGAGAATTCTGGCAGAAATGAGAGCAAAAATTGCCAATGTTCACTCATTTGTCGCAAGTCCAGAACAGTTTGATCCACAATTGCTGCTGCTGTTTTCGGTCTCTAAAACGTGGTGTAGTGGTTAAGAGCGGTAGATTCGTAATCTGGTGAACCAGGTTCGCTTCCCCACTCCTCCACATGCAGCTGCTGGGTGACCTTGGGCTAGTCATACTTCTTTGAAGTCTCTCAGCCCCACTCACCTCACAGAGTGTTTGTTGTGGGGGAGGAAGGGAAAGGAGATTGTTAGCCGCTTTAAGACTTCTTAAGGAGAGTGAAAGGCGGGATATCAAGTCCAAACTCTTCTTCTTCTTCTAAATGATACGGAACCGATTACCTGCCCCTTACACACACAGACATTTGCACTGCATTTCCTTTGCATTGAAATGAATGGTGTGGAATAATGTGACAATGACACCATTAATTATATAATCCGCTACATAAAATTCTGCCACAGCGAGTTTAAGAATGTCGTTTTTGTCAAAAACCAAACTGCAGTGGAACGGAAACAGCGCTATATGTGACGAATACGGAGTGGACAGAAATTGAAGCCTTCTTACATCCCTAACTGTGTGGCAAAGAAGCAGCAGCAAGCAGGCACTGTGTGTGGTAGGAGATTCGATGAGCATGGAATGCATATTTTGATCTCCGAAGGCAGACATGTGGAAATGTGCCTTTAGGGAGAAGGTCACCCATCTACATTAAACAAATCCCTACCAACACTACATTTCAGGAAGACGTTTGGGAACTGATGCACATCTGCTTACTGCCACTCCAAAACTCTAAGAGAGAACAGCACGTTATCCAAACAACTCAGAGAGGACATGGAGCATCAAAACCCAACTAAGCAAGCCTGCTAGTTCTATAAGGCCCTGCTGACAGATGTCCCACACCTGATTAAACAATTAAACTGATCAGTTTGTTTTCGATAAGGAAGAATCTGTTCACAGGGAGACTATGAAAACCTCAAAAATGGAAGTTTGATGTTGCTTCCTCAAAAACCATCCAAAGGGAAATCTTTTTCCTTAAAATTATTCCTTATCCATTTCTCAAAATATGCAACACTCCCATAGAATAAAGACAAAGAAATGGCTGTGCCCAATGTTCTCTTCCAACCAGGGCAGGAGCTCTGATGCTCACAGACAAGTGAGCTTTAATGATGCCCCGCAGAGAAGCCCAACACAGCAGTGGTGCTAGTGGCAACTCATTGCACAACAGATTTGCACAGCAAAGTTACCAGCAACACAATGTACTGCTGGTACAAAACATTTTGTCAGTGGAATGTAGACAACCTAAAGGCCTCTTACGGACAAACATTTTGAAGCTTTTGTGGCTTCAATTCATGGAAGCTTATGCCCCCTTAAAGCTCTTACAACAAAATCCTAAGCGCTACTCAGAAGTAAGTCCTATTACACTCAAGAGGGTGTACTCCCTGTGAGCGATGGAGGAGAGTTTCATTGAGTCCGCATTTTAAAGCAAATTGACCTTATTTGCAGCTCTTAGATTTATATGCAGATCGGAATGCAGGTAACAGTGGCACTGGGCACTGCTATGAATTTCAGAATGCTGTTTTGGTTCCAAAAATGTGAGTATCTTATAGGGGAAATGCATATTTTAGGGGGAAATGCATAGAAAGGCATTGAATAAAATGCATGCATTTGGAGGGAATGCATGCAAAATGCATCTTACAAAAAGTACGTACAAACATTTAAACACAGTTGGTTTGGGTGCAGTTTAATAGACGTGGCTGAGCATGTGTGGAACTGACACAGAGCAGAAGAGGACTGATCCATCCAGCCCAAAACATACTTAGGGTGGCACCCTCCATATTGAAAGCTACAGGACTCCCTCGGGGCTTAATGACACTTACTTTCTGCCCCGCTCTTTCCAGGAATTGGCCCACATTTTAATGCTTCATGTCCAAGCACCCTTCCCCACCCGCCCATTCAGGAGCTTCCCCATGAAAACCCACTCTTCAAAGCTGAATCAGAACAAACAGCAGAATGGGCTTCCTGTGGATTGCCATTCAAATTTAAAGAGTGAGTTTCTGCTGGGAAAGCTCCAGAGCAAAAGCAAAAAGGGGTGGGGTGCTTGGATACAGTGGCGTCGCAACGGTGGGCATGGGGGTGTTGAGCCCCAGGTTCCATGTCTGCGGGAGTGACAAGAAGTCACCCCGCAGGGGCTCGCAGCGGCATGAGCAGCCATCGCGCCACCACCACCGCATGTGGAGGATCCTCTGCTCGTGGCTGTAGCAGCAACGGAGGGATCCCGGCACCGTCCGTACGGCGCTGGAGCAGTGGCGGCGGCAAACCGCTATACAGCGCATGTGCAGCGTCACTACGTACGGCGCATGCGTCGTACGTAGCGACGCCTCACATGCGCTCTATATAGCGATGCCCGCCCTGGATGTCACGACGCCTTCCTTCACCCCTGCTTGGATACAGAGCTTTAAAGTGCAGACCATTTCTGGGAAGCATAGAGGAAAGGTAAGTGTGGATTGCCCTCGGTTGCAATGGGTTCTTGCTGTCACAAATGGACACTGAGCAACACTTGCTGAATTCTAGCCCAGGACTCTGAGCCAAAGGAGGTGAGTCGTGCCTGCACCAGAGAAGAACACCATCACTTACCCCAGGCAATGTCTTCTGCTCATGCAGGGCACTCTGGGCTTTGAGGGCTGAATCCCGGGCACAGTATGTAAGAAAGGCACAGCCTGGAGAGAAGAAGGGAGGGGAAAGTGTTATTGCATAAAGTCATGTGCGAGTACAGTCACGCTCAGCAAGGGACGGCTTTGCCCAGTCCACACCTTCATTTGCAGTGGAGAGAGAAAGGCAAAGCTTATACAGCACAACTGGAATACCGCCTGCGATGTCCCTTGCTCTGCAAAGCAGCTGGATACTCCCTTTCCAGGGAAGCTGTGCCTAGCCTCAAAGAGATGAGCGGAATCCAGCAGCAGGTCAGTCCGCAGCCCAGCGGGGATTTGATTTAAGGCAATTCGTATGGATTAGCAGGGCCTGGTTAATTGGAATCGGCAGGCAGAGGCAAACACACTGGGATTAGTGCAAAAGCCCTCCAGATTAGCACATCAGATCTTCATCCTGCCATGCCAGCAGCTATAGGGGAGCTTTCTTTTGTTGCTGTGGTTGGAGGAGCATATTATGTGAGGGTCTACAGCAAGGGTGGAGGACCTCCAGTGACTGGGGCCAGATGCTTCCACCCATACCTCTTTACCTGGCCCTTTAGACTCTCCCCAGGCCACATACCTCAGCAGATGGTTCCACGCTTTCATCAAGCGCTTTTTGCCTGGCTGGAATTATGTGTATTTGACTGATGATAACACACATACCTCAGTGTACCTCAGTGGCAGGGCTTCTGCCTTACACACAGAAGGTCCCTGGCTCAATCCCCAGCATCTTTACTTAAACCAGGGGAAGGTCTTCTATCTGAAATGCTAGAAAGCCACTGTCAGTCAAGGTAGACAATGGTAAACGAGATGGACCAATGGTCTAACTCAGTATAAGGCAGCTTCTTCTGTTTTTGCTAAATATCATCTTGGGTGGCAAGCTGCTGGCAGGAAGCTGAAGCATTTGTCACCTGCACATCCCTTTTGCTCCTTAAACTGGAACACACAAGCACGTATGGATTCTGAAGACCACCTTCTCACATGTGAACATGCCCATTTGCTGAGATCATCAGTCAGGGTGCTATGTCGTTTGCCTTCAGCCCTAGAAATAGTGGGTGGCCAACAGAGGGCAGGGCCTTTTCTGTGGTGAGACCTTGAATATGGCAGACCCTCCCCAAATGCATTTGGCAGCACCTACTCTGCTATTTTCTTTAAGCTGTACATGAAATATGTCCCGTTTTCCTGAGCTTTCAATGGGATACAATATGGAATTGCTTGATTATTGCTAATAGCTGGCTGTCAAGCTTGTTGTCACTTGTTGTGTCCTTAGTGCTTGTGGCTTCCTTTTGATTTTGGCCTGACTTAATGCTCAAGCTATGAATACTCGTCCATAAACTCCTCTGAAGACCAATTGATGGAATGTTGGGGGCAGAAATCCAATGATTAAATAAAAATTCTCTCAGTGATGTTTTCAGTCACATTTAGGCATAGAATTAAAGAGTTGGAAGGTACCACAATGGCCATTTGGCCCAACCCCCTGCAAGAAAGTACATACTCTCCCTCATGCTCTCAAAGATGTGCGTGCATTCCTGTGTAACTATTGAGAGCGACATTTCCTCACATCTTTGCTAATAATAGTTATCATTATTATTACTACCACCTTACATTTGTATAACACTTTCAAGAGTTCAAAGCCATTCATATGCATTATCTAGCTGTAATAAGACAACCCGGGAATGCAAGGATGGCCAATCTGGTACCCTCCAGATCCTGTTAAACTACAGTTCCCATCATCCCTGGCTACTGGCTGTCAAGGAGCTGCCAAGTGTGCCCAGGTCAAGCACGGGAGGCCCAGGACGCAATAAGCTTTTAATTAACACAAAGTAAAAACACAGTGAAGACAGAAGTGCCTGGCGTGCTCTGGTCCATGGGATCATGAAGAGTCGGACACGACTAAACAACAACAAAAACACAGTAGAGTCCTCTGGTTCAACTTAAGCGAGCTCAGACATTGCTGAAACTGACCAAAACCACCCCTCGCCGCCCTAGCCTCTCACTATGGATCCCTCCCAAGCAGATGAAGGCTGTGTCAAGGGGGTGAGCTCCTTCTCTGGGCCTAACTCTCCTCAAGCGGGGTGTCTGAGGGGAAGGAGAGCCAGCAGGACTGGGACTGCCCTGCTGCTGAGTAGCCAGGACAACCTCTGACTCCTCTTTGTCTGAGTTTGCACTCACACTGTGATGCTCAGTCTCTAACCCTGTGCTGAAAGGCCCTCTGATCCCCTTGATCACTCAACCCCCCTGCTTCTAAGACCTCACAGCTCTTCCCTTCCCCGAACTGCTCTTCAGTGTCCCACAACCACGATCCAGGATCTAAGTTGCCGTCCTCTGTGTCCTCCCTGGGGTGCTCCCACCACTCGTCTTCATCCGGCCAGCCCCTGACATTGGCCATGCTGGCTGGGGCTGATGGGAGTTGGAATTCAACAACATCTGGAGGGCCACTACTTCCCCATCCCTGTGATGGGACCTACAGAAATAGGAATAAGAATACAGGAAGCTGCATTCTACTGATACAGACCCCTGGTCCATCTAGCTCAGTTTTGCTACCCTGGCAGTCACTCTCCAGGGTTCTAGGGAGTCTCTCCCAGTCCTGCCTTGAGATGCTAGGACTGAACCTGGGACCTTCTGCATGCAAAGCAGGTGCTCTACCACTGAGCCATGGCCCTTCCCCCCTCCAAAAGCAAGGATGGCCGGAATAGTGCCCTCCAGATGCCATTAGTAGTCAACTTCCATCATCCCTGACCACTGGCCATGCTGGCTGGAGCTGATGGAATTTGGAGTCCAACATCTGAAGGGTCTCACCCTTGATACTGGGCTTTTGGCTATAAAGATCCACACTGGCACTTTGAATTCAACCTGGAAACGAAATGAGAGCAAGTGAAGGTCTTTTAGAAGGGATTCTCTACGTTCCACATGGCTAGCTGCAGGCAACAAATGAGCTGCCACTTTCTGGAACAGTTCGAGTAGTCATTCAGAGACCTAGTTGCCTCACCTGGCTAGGGGGGGAAAGGAGAAATAGAGCTGGGCATCATTGGCATACGAGGGGCACTTCATGGCCAATCATAACATTACTTCTAACCACCATAAAGCCATGGAACGAGCACAGAACCCCGTGGAATAATTCCCATGGGGGAAAGCAAGAACCCATCCCCCCATTCTGACACCACTCAGTGAGAGAAGCTTCTCCGCATTCCTGTTCACCACCATCAATCCACAGAGGTGATCCAAAAGGATACTGTCATCTGGACTGAACCTCACCCTGAGTGTTTATGCCTGGCTGGAATGTGTCCTTGAGCTGTGATAATGCCTCCTGGACCATTGCCTGGATGAAGGATAGAGAGAGGTGGAGACTAGCCTACGGGGCAAAGGAAGAATTCCCATTTGCCGCTCTGGTCACTCCCGCAACCAGCAGGCAGCCCCTGTAATAAGACAGCTAGCCCAACCAGTCTGGAAGCCATCTGGGCTCATCAGCCTTCAAGGACAGACCACCCTAACTAGCCCAGAACTCCTTAGGGGACAAGACGTAAGTGAAATCCCAAAGTCCAACCTTGATCACCCACTGCAAAAGGAGTTGACAGGTGTCCAACATACTCAAATGGACAAGTTCAGCACTCACTGCCTACGGTACTCTCTGATCTACGTTGTTGTTGTTGTTGTTGTTGTTGTTGTTGTTGTTGTTGTTGTTGTTGTTTTGCATCCAGTGTTAATCATACTCAGAGTAGACCCACTGAAATTAATGGGACTGACTAACTTAGTTGGTTGGAGACAACTCACTATTTATTAGTTTACTCATCCATCCTTCACCACGAGGTTCCAACCATTTAGAAGTGAAAATATTAAAACCAGTTCAAACAAATTTAATACATTTTACTTGTCCCACACACCGAAAATGAGCAGTGATGATGCTATTTGGGAGTTAAAGTCACAACTTTCTTTTTAATATCAAGGACCTGCAACAGGGCTGCCAACTTGAATAAATATGGGGGGGGGGGGGCTGGTAATCCCTGACCTGCATAAAAGAGAGGGAATATGTAAGCAAGTCCCATTTTTAAGTCCCACAATTAAGTGTTTTAAATTTGTTGTTAGCTGCCCTGAGCCCGGTTTTCTGAACCGGGAAGGGCGGGGTATAAATAAAAATGTATTGTATTGTATAAGCAATTAATAATAATAATAATACCACCTTTATTGTCAATGTACAACCTGTGTACAATGAAATTTACCGAGCCTAACATGGTCATGCACACCATTTGAATGACAATGCTCATCAACTTTGTGGGGGCTGGCCCCCTCGAATTTTTCATGGGGAGTGTGCTGAAGGGAGCTTGGCCCCTAGGAGTTGGCTCCTATGACCTCCAAGGAGAAAAGCAGTGTTGGCCAGCTACTTTGCCAAAGACCGCACAGAGGAACTCACCTGGGCAATACCGCTTACATTGCATGTCAAGAGGAACATGCTGGGGAATATCTGTCCCCAAAGCCCTGCACTGTTCAGCATTCAGAAGGAGGAAGGAAAATATTCCCCTTTAACCAGGCTTTTGGCTGACTAACATCCCATATAATTTAAAATGTGTTTGTGGGAGGGCTGGGGGGGTTATTGTTTTGTTCTTGTTCTTACTATGTATTTTGTGCTTTAATCTTGTATATGTATGCTGTGAACCGCCCTAAGATCTACAGATGAAGGGAGGATTAATAATAATAATAATAATAATAATAATAATGACTTGAAAATGAAATCTTAACCTTATACATCTCCAGAGCCCATCCCACACCATACAGCATGATGAAACAACCTGCATCACACACCACAACTGGTGGACAGCAACTGATGAAAGAGGGAATTGGTGTCTGAATGGTCCTGCAAGACTTTATAAAGTGATGTCTCTAACAAGCCACCTTCTGGGTTCTGCTCCCAGCAGTGAAACGTCTTGGGCCCAGCAATGTAGGTCACACACCCCCAATCTGCATGATGGCAAGATAACTTTCTTTTTTAAGTGTTGCATGCGCCTAAATATGTACAGGCAAATTTATCAAGTAATATAAGGAGAAATTCTAGAAATGCATATGGAAATGAACTAACACACTCTTTACTTCAATAGGCCAGACAGGGCATGGGCCCCCAGATGACCGCCCCCCCCCAGGGTCCCCTTTCAAGGCTTTGCCGCTGCTTTTCCTGCCAGTGCTGGAGTCTGGCTTGCAAACCAGCCTCTGGCCTTTGGCAGCAAAGGGGGCTGGGAACAGCATCAGCCGCTGCCTGCGAATTCACTTTCCTTTCCCTTAAGGCAGTGGTAGGAACTGGGCCCAGAGGCAGAGGGAGAACAAGTGGGTGATGAGAGAGGAGAAGATGGATGGGGCCAGTTGGAAGCATCTTGCAGGATGGTTCCCCAGCCCTCAAAACAAAACAAAAACATGGAGCTAGCACTTGAGATGGACAAATGTGGAATTTTTTTGTTGCTCTCAGCTTCTCATTTTTACAATCTTCAGTTCTCCACATTTCCCCACCAGTTTGTGATTTAAAAAAAATAAATCTTTTTTAGAAAAGCTTCTCATGAAAAATCATTAGCATTTTGGTACGCTAATGCACATGCAATTTTGCCTAACATTTTGCAAAGCAATTTTACCTAATGCCATGCATTTTTTTGTATGTTATTTTCACTAAAATATGCATTAATATGCATGTTTTACACTAGTAAATTTATTTTTGTACATGTTACTTAGGTGGAAAACTGCACTGCAAAATTAGACGCGTGAGTTTCAAGGGATGGCTGTGTTTCAGCTTACATATTGTTTCAGAAAAGTGTGAATTAAATGCAAACTGAATCAAATTTCTCTTCCATCCACAGCCAGCATGGAACGATCATTTGTCCTAATCTCTCCTCAGTTGAATCAGAGGTGTCTACTAGCACCTTACGCTGTGAGTAGTTCTGTGGAATTTTCATGGGACTGCTGAGGTGTGTGTGTGTGTGTGTGTGTGTGTGTTACACTCCTAAATGCTCTCCCTCCTTAGCACACACTGCAGGCTGTGAATCAAAAGGCTTGGAGGGGGAAGACTGCTCAACACTGACTCACCCTCATGAGCTCTTACTCCCAGGAGGAGCTCGATTAAAGGTTTGCAAGTCCGCATTGCCACGAATATAAGGTTTGCACAGATTTTGTTTTGCTTTCTTGCCTGTACTATTCATGGCACGGCTTTGCAAAGCTGCTGTGGAAATGTAGCAGCCCAGGCAGAAACTCTAGCTGCCCCTCTTGCTGATGGAAATAAATCCAAGCATGGGTACTTTGCTAGCCTTTTTGTAACACAGGAGCAACAACAGTTCCACTCGGTTTGCAGCATACGATCAACATTATTAGGTGTTTTTTCTTTGTTTTGTTTTTTAAATAATAGATCCTATATAAATCTTCCTAAAACGATATTAAAACAGCAGCAAAACAGTTTCCCTTCAAAAATGTAAATATTTAATGAACAAAATTTGACATTGATGCATTTTTAATATTGGCACAATTAAATCTGCCAGATGATTAAGTATTAATAACTCTTAATAAGTGCAACCATCTCGCCTTCAAATAGAAGCAATTCACGAGCGAGAGGAAGCCAGCCTCGTAGCCAGGAGAATGCAGACTGACCCATCAGCAGGCAGACAGTTGCTCCTGGCTGCAGCAGCCGTGCTTCATTCAAAACAATCCTCAAACTTCCATTCCACTGACTTGCCTTTGTGAACAAAAGAGTCACAGAAGACGCATATTTGGACAGAGGAGCAAAATTAATGAGGACCTTAATTAGATGAAGGGTGGCATTTAATTGTGTTGATCAGTCTATGTATTTAAAAGGAGAGGGGAGTTTTAATTTTCTTTCTGGCCTGCACAGTTTCGAATATGTAGAGCAGGGCTGAGGAGGTTAAAAAAGAAAATAATTCAAGCAGTTTGAAGTATAGACTTCAGTAAAGGTATAAATGGAACTGGGAGAGGATACACAACTGCTATCCTTCCATAGGGTGCTGGATTAGAGAGTGTCGGAAGAGTTAAGCAGCAATGCAAGAAGCGTTGGAGACTTTTCAACATGCTAATGCATAAAGAATATTGGTGCACCTGACAATTTTCACAAGTGACTTCCCATCATATTTAAGTCAAATTTCATGTCGCTTCCTAGAAACTCTCGCATCCAACCCAGCTTCCTCCATCAATCTCAAGGTCTGATATTTGAAATGTTATAGTCGTATTTATTTATTGTGATGACAAAGACCCTCCTGTTCCATTGCTGTTAAGCAGCAGAGATAAACTGGCCTGACTACTGGGTTGCTTGCTTTGGGGCGGGGTGAGAGGGGTGAGCGAAAAGCTCTCTCCAAATGTTAATATTATTTCAGTCTTTCATTGCCCTAACCTACATCCCTGCCTGCTTCCATCATCTTGTCTATACATTTGAACTGAAGGCCTGCAGTTTTTAAAGGTCATTTCCAAGAATCTACCTAGGAAATGTTAGAAACTAAGATATAATCTTCCTGTGGACTACATATTGCATTCTCCTTTTTCTGCAGCACAGAAAAAACGATCCATTACCGGGCTGTTGCTTTCCATTCAGAAAGGACACATTTCAAAATAGGCAGCCTGGGGAAAGTTGCAAAAGCAGGGAGGTTTTTGTGTGTGTTGTTTTGTTGTTAAGAGAATGGTATGCCCTGGTACAAGATGTGATCTAAAATCCCAACTCTAGCCTGCATTGAAACTTAACAATTAATATACCACCAGATGCCACTCACCAGAAGGCAACCGACCTGAAGAGCTGGAAACTGTATTTCACAGGGAACCAATAGCCCTAAATATAACTACTTGAAGGCAATGAATTCAGTCGGTGTGCCTTAGATATGTGGGGTGTCACCACTTTAGAGTAAAATCCAATGCACAATTATTGGGAGTAAGTCCTATGCATGCTTACTCAGAAGTTAAGTGCCACTTAATGGGGCTTACTCACAGGTAAATGCGTATGGGATGTCAGATTTAATTGCATGCAGCCTCGGGGAATAATATCAAAAGAAATGTTAGGCATACACATGACACAGTGTTTTATCTCAGTACTTAAAGGACAAGAGAGAGCCTTCAACTATTAGGTTCTAAAAAGTTGGCTAAGCATAGTGTAGAACAACCTACCATATGAAAAAAATGTGAAGTGGAAGCATTTATCCAGATGCAAACTTGCTTCCTCTGCAAATTCACTCATTCATTTCTTGCCTGCCCCATATGTGCAACTGTTACTAGAACTCACCAACAGGTGTGTGTGTGTGTGTAATGTGTGTGTTTATACACACATATATTTGTGTGGACATACATAGCATTTCCTCTATTTGCATGGCTATCAACTTCTATCCTTAAAGTTAAATTAACATCAAGATACTGAGCCTATAATAATTTTATGATTTATGTTAGCACACGTGATGTTTTATGAGCACTTTTTACCATCTTGATCGTTTTCTAACTTTGAAGCCACAAAGAATTGTACTCCTTGGGCCAGGCATATCAGTATGGGGTATGAAATACAATAGCACAAAACACCTCTTGGGTTGTATTTAATTAAGCCCTACTCAGAGTAGACCATTGAAATTAATGCACCTAAGTTGCCTGTGTCCATTAAGTTCAATGGGTCTACTCTGAGTTGGAGTAACATTGAATAACATGTCTTGCCTAATAAAATGCATATCTGTGAAGGTTATATGAGGTTGTCAGTTATGTTGCCAGTAACAATGAATATTATAAGGCCAGGATCTTGATGTTAATTCTGCATGTTTCAGGTAACTAGGCAGTTGGGTTAAAGATTCACGATACAGACACTGATTCTGTGCATAGCTGTCAACTTTTCCCTTTTCTTGCGAGGAATCCTATTCGGAATAAGGGAATTTCCCTTAAAAAAAGGAAAACGTTGACAGCTATGATTCTGTGAGCCAAGATGGATTCTCCAGACAGAGTCTACCACTACACCACAGATCTTTGGCTCAACTGTCCAGCTACCAGCAACTGGTAAAATTCATTATCAAGGTGCCAGCACTATAATATTCCTTGTTACTGGCAACACTGGCACTGTCACCCCATTGTTACTCACATACCTACACACACTTTTCATCCAGTTCAACTTTGCACACCAACTAACTCAGCAAAGGGTTAAGGAAACAGGGAGCTCCTTTATAGGTATGCTAACTCCTCTAGATCCAGCCAAGGCTGAGACCTATTTCCTAATCCAGGGGTGGGGAAACCTGTGGCCCTCCAGATGTTATTGGACTCCCATCATATATAAATTCAATAAATAATAATAATCTCTGACCATTGCCCAAGCTGGATGGGAGTGCTGGGAGTTGGAGTCCAGCAACATCTGGAGAACCACCAGTTCCCCACCCCGTCTAATGAGTGCTTATGTACCATCTGCCTCTCCGATGGCATAGAAGCCCCTTCACGTATATACAGCTTTCCTCGGCCCCCTTCTCTTGTATGTAACATAGGTTTGCAGGGAGCTGGGGCCTCCTTCAGCCATATCCTCCCCCCACCATAGCACCACTCAGAAGATGTCTGTTTCCTGTCTCTGTTTACAAATCTCCCTCCACTGTCTCCACCTCCCACACTTACTCTCTCACACTGTGACACACATCTCTCTGCCTTACACTCTCCTGCATGCAGACACGCACATGCACACTTACTTTTTTCCCCACCCAGCCCAACTTTTCACATGCTGTGTGATCCGATGCATGCTAAGTCAGGGGGAAAAGCCCCCCACCCCACCCCGCCTGCGCTCAAATGGGCTTGCTCCCAGGAAGGGACACTTAGGACTGTAGCCACAATAACTTAAAATAAGAAGAACAAAGTAGCAGAGAGAGGGGCCATTGCCAGAAGTCCTAATCTCCTCCTGATGCAAAATATGATCTTTTTTCGAGGGGGGGGGAGGGAGTGTCTGTGTTTGTCTTCCTTTTCCTCCTGCACATGCGTGCACATCCTTCCACTGATCTCTCTCTCTCATCCAGTCATTACACGTGACCCAACTTTATACACATTACGTGTGTGTGTGCATGTTCAGAGAGGGGGGAGACGGCACTGGAGAAGGGGAGGTACGCTTCTCCCTCTCTTAGAGGATGTGTAATTCCCTCCTTGTTTACGGATCCCCCCCCCAAACACACACACTCTGCAAATCCCATATCCACTCTTACACATGGAAGCAAGTCCTACCGAGCTTTGTGGAACTGGTTCTCGAGCGAATCTGCCCAGAGGGGCACGCTTCGTCCACTTACTCCTCTCTGTGCGCCCCCCACCCGCCCTCAGCCTCACACACACAACGCGGCGTTCGGCGGCGGCCAGCATCTCCTCTCCATCCCTTTGTTGGCCCTTTCGCCTGGCCGGGAAGCGGGGGGGGGGGGTGCAGGCGTGGTGGGAGTAGCCGAGGCGGCATCGGCATCGGGAGGAGGAGAAAGGGATCCACCCGGCGCGCGGCAGGAGGAGGGCGGCGCGCGGCGGGGCTCCCTACCTTTGTGCATGCCGGTGAAGCGGTCCTTGAGCACGGTGAGCTCGTAGATCTTGCCGAACTCCTCGAAGAGCGGCTTGAGGTCGCTCTCCTCCAGGTTGCGCGGGATCTGCCCGATGAAGAGCTTGATGGCATCGTGGTCCTTCATGGCGATGGTGCCGCCCGGGCCGTGCGTCGGCGTCGTCAGCCCGTTCATCCTCCCGGAGCTGTTCGTGGTGCTGAAGGCAGTGCTCTCCGCCTGCGGCGGCGGAGGCGGAGGAGGAGGCGGCGGCGGCGGGGGCGGGGGCCCGGGGGGAGGTTGTTGCTGCGCTAGCCCGTTGGCCAGAGTAGCCATGATGTTCCCAGCCGGCTCTGCCCCGCCCCGCCCGCCCCGCCCCGGCTCCTGCCTGCTTGCGCCGCGCGGGAGCAGGGGGAGGGGGGCTGCCCAGCCCGGGCTCCCCCTCTCCGCGCTCAGCCCAGATCTCGCCCTCCACCCCCCCTGCCCGCCCTCCTCCTCCTCCGCCGCCGCCGCTTCCCTTCTCCTCCCTTCGCCTGGCTTGGCTTGGCTGGGGCTTCGCCTCGCTTTGCGCGCACGCCCTCCCTCCCTCCTCCCTCCCTCGGCGGCTGCCACTGGGCCGGATGACGTCAGCTGACTGGCCCCCGAACTACTCGCATAAGATTAGCATAGCGGAGCGTGGGGGGGGGGGAGAGCCGCAGCCAATCAGGTAGCGAGGGAGGGGAGAGGGGCAGGGCTGGCCAGGCAGGCAGGCAGGCGAGCGCTGGGAGGAAGGGAGACAGAGTCAGGAGGAGCGGGAGCCCCCACGGAGCCCGGCGCTCGCGGAAGGGGGGGTAGAGAGGGGCCGCCTCCTGCTATAGGGGAGGGAAAGGAGGGTTGCTAAGGAAGCCCGGCCCTCCTCAAATTGGAAGGTGTGTGGCTGCGGGTGGCGGGGAGCTCTGAAGGACCACTTGCAGTCGGGCTAAGCGAGCAGGGGTTCTTCCCCAGAGACAGGATTCATGGAGGATTTAGCTTGGGTAATTATTATTAATATTAATATATGTCATAAAATTTACGTGCAGCTTGATTGGAAAAAACACACAAAAAACAACCTCTGAAGCAGTTTGCAAAAAATGTAAAACAAGGAAATAGGAATTTGCAACCCACGTGCAAAAGAATGTCCTTAACTTTCAAAGCACCTGGGTACACATGCCTAAACAGCCAAATCTAGTACCCTGAAGGTGCCTACTTGATCTCAATAGGCAGGGAGTTCCAAAGTGCAGGTGTGGCCACACTGAAGGACTGAATACTGACAGACACAGAATGGGTATTATGTGGCACTGTAGTAGTGCCAACCCCACTCGAAGCAGTCAAATGACTTTTTTTCCCCCGTGCACAAACTCAGCCTGGGAAATGAGCATGTACAGAGTGCTCCACGGTTGTGTGGATGGAGATGAGGTGTGCATGTGTGTAGAAACAAGTAAAGGTAAAGGAACCCCTGACCATTAGGTCCAGTTGTGGACGACTCTGGAGTTGCGGCACTCATCTCGCTTTATTGGCCGAGGGAGCCAGCGTACAGCGTACAGCTTCTGGGTCATGTGGCCAGCATGGCTAAGCCGCTTCTGGTGAACCAGAACAGGGCACGGAAACTCCGTTTACCTTCCCGCCAGAGTGGTACCTATTTATCTACTTGCTCTTTGACGTACTTTCGAACTGCTAGGTAGGCAGGAGCAGAGACTGAGCAATGGGAGCTCACCCTGTCGCGTGGATTCAAACCGCTGACCTTCTGATCGGCAAGCCCTAGACCCACTTTTGCCTCTGGCCTGACCCATCTCTGGTCCCAAAGAGGTTCCCTAGGCCTTCTGTAACTTGTGGAAATGGAAAGCCTCCTCATGGAGCTGCCCCTCACTATTTAGGAGCAGATCAGGGCATTCATCCCCCATTCTGTCCTGTTCATGTGTATGTCTTATGCATAAGGAAAATGCCCATGTACAGCTACAGTAAAGCCACACACAAAAAATACAATTAAGACTAGAAACAGGGAGGGACTTATCTTGTTGTTACTATGTAGTCATGCCTATATAATAAAGAGAATGTTGATTCTGTGTCTTTCCATCCATCATCTGCATGAAATACTGCTTGAGAGCTTGCCTAATCAGGTTGCTCCCCATGAAAAGCATTTTCCTGTGAGTGGATGAGATGTTGTGAGAGCTGGAAATGTTGGAGAAAGGGGAAACCAAGACTGATGGGGAGGCTGGAGCACCTTTCCCTTTGCAGGAAGGCTACATCATGACTGCAGAATGTGTGGTGTTCCCGAGGTTGCTGGACTACAATTCCCATAATGCCTGGCTGTTGGCCTTGCTGCCTGGGGCTGGTGGAGTCCAACATCTGGAATGCCACAGATTCCCCACCACAAGCTTGCATCTTTGGGGCTTTTTAATGTAGAAAATGTGGACATGATTTGACTATGGGAGAGAGATTCAGTTTGGTTAACATTGAAAGGCAAACTTACCTAATTCACTCATCCTCAACCAAAACACAGCCATCCTTTGAAATTCACATTTTTTCTGAATTCTCCAGTTCTCCAGGCAAATAAAATGTACAAAAATGCACCTAGTAAGGTAAAGCATGCACATATATGGCTATATTAGTGAAAATAACGTATGCACTTAGTAAGGTACATTACTAAGGTACATGGGATGCGGGTGGCGCTGTGGGTTAAACCACAGAGCCTAGGACTTGCTGATCAGAAGGTTGGCAGTTCGAATCCCCACGACGGGGTGAGCTCCCGTTGCTCGGTCCCTGCTCCTGCCAACCTAGCAGTTCGAAAGCACATCAAAGTGCAAGTAGATAAATAGGTACCGCTCCGGCGGAAAGGTAAACAGCATTTCCGTGTGCTGCTTTGGTTCGCCAGAAGTGGCTTAGTCATGCTGGCCACATGACCCAGAAGCTGTACGCCGGCTCCCTCGGCCAATAAAGCGAGATGAGCGCTGCAACCCCAGAGTCGGTCACGACTGGACCTAACCGTCAGGGGTCCCTTTGCCTTTACCATTAAGGTACATTAGTGAAAATAACATACAGAACTGTAGGGGGGAAATGCTTTGCCAAAAAAATTCTTATAATGGGAAATTTGCACCAACATGCTTTCCATGGACTTCTTAAAATAACAACAGTGGTAATAATTACAAACTAATTTGGAAACATGGAGAACTGAACTTAAGGTTGGAAAAAATGTGAGACTGAAAGAAGCTGAAATTGACAGACTTGCCTGTTCCTAGACACGATAGAGGGTGATGCAGTGATGCCAGGGTGTGGAACGAATTAATATTGGAACTTTAGGACATCCAGGGGATTGACAAAAGAAAGTACTTCTTCTCACAATTCAAAATTGCAGTGTGATCAAGGTCACAAGCTTAGGTGGCTTTAAAAAGAGATTAGGCAGATCCACAAAGGGTGAGCCCATCAGCTGATCCTAGTTATGACAGCTCAATGGATCCTCCAGGTTCAGAAGTATACCACTGACTAGCAGATGCTGGGGGTACCAGCAGAAGAGAGTCATTGCTTTCAGATCCTGCTTTCCAGTAGAATCAGGTGGGCCCAGAGGGAAGGGGGTAGAATGCTGGACTAAGTGAATTAAGGGCTCTTCTTATAGATGCAAACTGAACAACAAGAGATGGGATGAATGGGTTTCAGTCTATGCAGGATTTTATGCATTCTAAAAGTGCAGCAGACCAAGCACACAAACTATTTTTCTCAGTTTCAGCCAATCACATTATAAATATGGATGGGTTTTTCTCTCTCTCTCTCTCTCCTTTTCAATGCTGTGCCCTCATCCTTCCTCTCAAAGGCCCCAGAGGAGCTTCTTCTTCATGTCACACAGACCAGGAGGGAGTTGCCTTCACCATGGGGGGGGCAGGAAGTGAGCTCTCTGTCTCTGCTCACTCACCTGCTCGCAGGAGAAGCAGCAAGAGGACCGCATGCAACCAAACCACACTCAGTCAGTTAAATATGAATGCGTGTTTCAGATTAGTTTCAGGCTGAATTCATTTGAGGAGTACAAATTAATGACTTGATTTCAGGAGTATGTTGTCCTGCTTGGAAACTGACGTGTGCACATTCAATTCAGGAATATGTGAACTCCACCTCTGGGATTCTGTGTACAGTACATGCATGCGCGCGCACACACAAGTGCATGCATGTTCATGTGCTGCTAGTAGGCAAGGCCTGAGGCAAAAGTGAGAGCAGCAATGGATGCAAACTTTACCTTTGCACAGTAGACTCGCGTGCCCCTCTCTGTTCTCCATGTAGAAAAGCAAGAGGTTTGAGGCTCCTAAAGGCATGATTTAGAGAGTGGTACCTCAGCCAATAGGGACGCGGGTGGCACTGTAGGTTAAACCACAGAGCCTAGGACTTGCCGATCAGAAGGTTGGCGGTTCGAATCCCCACAACGGGGTGAGCTCCCATTGCTCGGTCCCTGCTCCTGCCAACCTAGCAGTTCGAAAGCACATCAAAGTGCAAGTAGATAAATAGGTACCGCTCCGGCGGGAAGGTAAACGACGTTTCCGTGCGCTGCTCTGGTTCGCCAGAAGCGGTTTAGTCATGCTGGCCACATGACCTGGAAGCTGTACGCCGGCTCCCTCAGCCAATAAAGCGAGATGAGCGCCGCAACCCCAGAGTCAGTCATGACTGGACCTAATGGTCAGGGGTCCCTTTACCTTTACTATTTGCTCCAAAAGGGGATGACAGAGGACGAGATGGTTGGACAGTGTTCTCAAAGCTACCAGCATGAGTTTGACCAAACTGCGGGAGGCAGTGGAAGACAGGATTGCCTGGTGTGCTCTGGTCCAGGGGGTCTCGAAGAGTCGGACACGACTAAACAACAACAACAACATTTTCTCCATTCTGGTAGCTTTGAAGGCTCACACAGGGTGGCTGCACAGAGAATTGAGGGTTCCCTCTCTTGGCCACAGTAGCTCCTGACCCTCAGTGGGATGAAACGGGTTCTCCCCTCCCCCCAAGGCAAGCATGCCAGTTCTTGTGCCAGCAGAACTGCATCTGCAGCCCCAGCATCACTTGTGCCCATGCAGGCCACACACCCACGTCTCTATAAATACAGACTCCACGAATAGCAAATGCCGGCACCAAAGTGTGGCTGAGGGATTGTGTCATGACCTGATTTAGTGGGAATCCTCCAAATCACAGTTTCACAAAGGTCCCCAGTGGGGAAACCAAACTGGCGCTCAGCTGGCAGGTGGTGGAGGGGGCAGGAATAGAGCAGCTTACACACACATCCCGAAGATGGATGTGACAGGCATCTCAGACCAGTCCAAAGCAAACCCCAGGGAAGGGTCCAGGGATGAGAGGCTGGGCAGCTCCCTTGGGACTCTATCCACAGGGCTGGTGAAAAAGAAGGTGAGGTTAACTGACACAGAAAATGCACACAAAGCATTGGGAGAAGCCTCAGTCATGTTTCTTTATGCATCAGTATGAATAGGAGTGTGTCTGTTCTACTTCCTTTCCTGCAGAGTGTATTTAGCCCATGTGTAGGGCACATATTTCAGCCCGAGAGCTGGTTACCATTCTGGGCAACTTTTCAGGAGCCCCATGCCAGTGGCGGGCAAGGCAAAAGTGGGCAGCGCAGTAAATACGAGTTTTATTTGCACAGTTTTATAGGCTCCTCATGAGGCCAGAGGAACATCGCCCAGCTGTGGGGCCTGAAGGCCGCTCCCTGCAAGGCCCTTTCCATGTGGCCTAGGGGGCAGGGCCCTGACTCACCAGCCCTACTATGTTAAATATGTATTCTGTAGTTGACCTCCTTTGTAATGTTTTATTTTGAAATCTTTAAGATAATATTTTAGTTTTCTATTACGTTGCTTTGACTGTATACTCTATATTTGACTTTCTTCAGATTGTTTTATTTATGTTTTATTAACTTAATATGCTGTAAACCGCTTTGAGGTTTTTCTTAAAAATATAAAGTGGTATAGAAATTTTAAAAATAAAAATAAAATAAATAAATTTACATTTCTACAGTAGGCTGGTTTCCATACACACTTGAACCACCCCTCTATGTCCTCTATCCAAACAGGCAAGAAGCACCACCAGCGAACAATGATTCATTGCAGCCAACCAAAACCAACACTCAAGGATGGTGGAAAGCAGGGCTTGGAGGTGGGGGGGTGGCCTGGAAAGAGAGCAAGGGCCAGGTGGAGAGGCCCAGAGTTTCCCTATCCCTGGTGTAGTGAATCATGAAGTCAGAAGGCCCTTCACTCTGCCATTTCTTGAAACCCCATTTGCTTTCCAACACAGAACCAAGTTGCAGCTTCTTTGTTCCCTTCTCTTCAGCTTGGAATCAGATCTGGGTGTGAGCATTCACTGTATGTAGGCTGAGAATTCGGAGAAAGAACCACCTGATTTACTCATTCTTCCTCATTGCAGGGGTGGATTTAGGCCTGTGCAAGAGATGTGCAGGAACTGGGCGCTGAGCTGAGGGGGTGCCTTCTCAAAGCCTGGTAAATGAGGTGCTGGGCTCCCAGAAGAAGGTGTGAGGCTCTGACAGGCTCTGAGAGTCCTCCTGCCTCCTTCCCAGAGCCTAGTTAGTGCTTTCCCAGCTTTGGGAAGGAGCTGGGGGAGATCCAGGACCCTGCCAGAACCCTCACGCCTCTTTCCCAAAACCAGGTGCCTCCTTACCAGCCTTTGGGAAGGGCAGCGGAAGGACTTGGGGGGGGGGGACCAGCCTTCAGCAACCTGGTGCCTTCCAGATACTTGGGGCTTCAACTCTCATCAACCAGTGGTCAGAGTTGATGGAGGTTGTAATCCAAAAGATCTGGAGAGCACCAAGCTGGGAAAGGCTGCTTCTAGAGTCTCAAGACCCATCTTACCTGAGTGGCAGGTAAGATTTAAATGAACCATTCTTGGCTCCTAATTTTAAATAATAGCTCCCTGATACCTTTTGACATGCATAAGTGCAGGGGAAACAAGACATGTGGATATGAAAATAAGAGGCCTTAATGGGAAGTGTCTACAAGATATCAATACAATGGCCAGTACTTAAAGATGAAAAGAAACTGATTGCTCTCCTGGAAAAAAATGCATAACTAGTCTAGCCAGCCTTGGGAATGTGGTGTTTTCATTCCTCCAGCAATTTCCCTGCAGAAAGCTAATGTAAATTTACTTATACAGTCCCATCAGCTCATAGTCATAGGCAAAATAGATATGTGTCGTGCAATGACCTTACAATCTAACAGGGCAACCCAGGACATTTATTATTTTGATGAAAAACTCGTTGGGTTTTTCCTTGAAAAGCGATATTTTAAAGTGATAAAAATCTTTCCCCTGATTTTAGGAAAATTAGAAAACATGGCAGCTCTGTGGACATTGGGTTGAAATTACTTTTAAAACGGCTTGTGGGCTACAGTTGGGAAGGACAATTAAGGGGGTAAGTCAAAGACTACTCAGAAAAGGTGGAGTTGGGGAAAAGGTTTGTGGTTTGAAGAATCTGTCAGGTCCAATTTCTCCCACTTCCTCCTTTTTCCAATCTTCAATTCTGTTTTCCACATATCCATAACATTTTGCTTCCTCACCCCAAAACAACAAAACAGTCGTACCTTGGCTCCCAAACGCCTTGGGAGTCGAACGTTCTGGCTCCTGAACGATCAAAAAGCAGAAGTGAGTGTTCTGGTTTTTGAACATTTTTTGGAAGCCAAATGTCTGGCACAGCTTCCGTGCCTGCGCAATCGGAACCAATCAGAAGCTGCGCCTTGGTTTCTGAACTTTACAGAAGTTGAATGGACTTCTGGAATAGATTCAGTTCGACTTCCGAGGTATATCTGTACTCATAAAAATTCATCAGAATTTTTGTATAAATTTCATCTCATAAACTCATCTTTAGATGCAGTTTTGACAAATATACAGATTTTTTGCAAGCAATTTCCCCAAAGGTGATATGTATCACCTTGGTTGGACATTGGTTGGTTGGAATGGCACAGAAAAACCCACAGGTGTGCAAATGTAAAAGACTATAATACACCGTGACCAAATGATGGACCACTAGCCAGCCAACACCTAGGGAAACAGGTGAGTTTTAAGGAGGTGCCAGAAACTGGACCACAGTCCTGGCCTGCCTTATTTTCTCAATTATCCAGAGGGATGCAAAGCTGGGAGGATTTGGGGAAACTCTTAAGGGGAGCCTAGATCCAGCTGCCTGAGCCTTCTGCTTGGGGGTAAATGCAGGGCTGGGCCAGACGCTTGGCAGCTTACTGAAGTTGTCCAGTGGTGCCATGGGCCTGGCAGAGAGAGCGTTCTCCAGTGGACTGGGGCCCTTGATTTCCTGATGCTCACCATTTGTGTTTCCTCTCCCCTGCCCCCTTCCTGCCTTCCCCCCAGTTTGGTGTGGCTGCATCTGAGGAGCTCCGGCAGGCCGTCCTGAAGGGCAGCTTGCAGCAGGCCAGGGGCAGGGAGATCCTTCAGGAGAAGCAGCAGAGGGATGCTCAGTTCAGGCGTGTCATCCAGGTAAGCTGTGTGAGAAGAGGAGGCTGAGCTCATGGAAGGGGCCTTCTCAGCTGCTGGCTGGGCACTGTCCCTGGGGGGCTCTTTTCCCATGCGAGAGGAGGGGCAGGAGGCCTGTCCTCTTCTCCCGGCTGCCCACTCCCTGGGCAAATGCAACAGTGCAGAAGAACCAGCCAGGTGGTGTAGGTTAGGGGGTAAACTCTAGTTCCTTGCCACCCCAATCTCCACGTGGTGCGAGACTGCAGGGGTTCCCGGGGCTTCCTCTGGGTTTGGTGTCCTTGGAATGAGGGGCAACCTCCTGTCTCACAGCAGCTGCCCAGCTGCCCCAAAGGAGAAGCTCCATAGCAAGCAGGAGCTGAGCAGCAAGGCTCACCCCACTGGTTTTGCTGCTTGTGACCCTGGAGGTGGCTGACTCTCTCTGGCACCCAAATACATGTTGTCTGTCTGCTTCCTTTGCCATTCCCAGGAAATTGAGAGCAGCCCGGAATGCCACCAGTGCCGGCTGGCCAGTTTCCTGGATTGTGAGCTGCAGCGCCTGGCCAGTTACCCTCTGCTGCTGAATCAGATCATCCAGCACACCAACGGTATGTCTCTCTTTCTCCATATCTTGGTGTGTTGGGTGCGGTGGGGAGGGTGTCCCAGGAAAGCTGCATCTCTCCATGACTCCATGTTGATGTGCTTCCTAATTTTGGGAGGTTGTGAGGTGCATTGAGCCTGCCTTACTAGGGAAAGCCAGCACCCAGAGGGTGATGGGGCGGGGAGTGGGGAGAGACGATGCCCGTCTGTTGCATTAGTGTCCCATGAGGCTGTGTCTGTAGGGCATAGGTGTTGTTCAGCAGCCCACTTTCCTATCAGCAAACAAGGATCCGTTTGCCTTATGCATCTGGGCTGCTGCTGCTCATCTGCCTTCTAGACCTGCTTGCTTTTAAATGCAGCCTTGTTCCCAGTTTGCGCTGGGAGTTGCTGTAAATAAAACCAACTTTGCAGGCAGCCTCTTTCTCTCTCTCTTACCTCCTCTCTCTGCACTTTCAGAGTCCACCTATGAGCACCAGTGCCTTTGCCTGGCCCGGGATGAGGTCAAGGGGATCCTGGCGGACATCCAGGAGGAGCTGCGGCTGGCAGAGAACAACCGCCAGCTGCAAGGGTACCAGCAGTGCCTGGACGCCCGATCCCTGCGCAAGAGCCACCACCCACTGGCCAGGGTCTCCTCTTCGCCCTCCCCTCCAATCCCTGGCCTTGTCCTGCTCTTCCCCTCCGTGAAGTGCTGCCTTTTTCTGCCCCTCTGCGCAGAACCTTGACCTCAGGGAACACAGCCTAATTCAGGAGGGGCCTCTGCAGCTTCGCCTGAACAAGAGGAAGACTGTGGGTAAGTAGAAGAAACAACCTCTCCTGCCCAGAGACACCCGCGTGGCCCAGGCCTCTCCGAGTGGAGGGTGATGTGCTCTGGCTCTGCAGTTGGCTTTGCCACTTAGACTCCCCTTTTCTATTAAGGCACCTAGATGTTCTCCTCAGGATCAGTGTGAGCAACAACCCCTCTGTGTGTGTGTGTGTGTGTGTGTGTGTGTGTGTGTTTGTGTCTCTTAGGCCTGCACGTTCTCCTTATGGAACACGTCACAATCTTTCTGAAGCCGAAGGCGCAGCGGCTGCAGTTAAAATGCTTCAGGAGGAAGGCAGGGGGCTCTGTTTTAAGCCCCGTGGTTCCCCTGGAGACCACCCTCGTTCGCCCTGCAGCCACAAGTAAGAAGGGGGGCCATAACACCACCGCTCTTCATGACACCGTGAGGACCCTTCTTCCATCTGGTCTCTTTTCTCTGCTCAGATTCAACATCGTTTTTTCTGGTCTACCTTTCGGAGGAGGGACCAGAAATCTACGAGCTGGTGGCGCCCAGCCCTTCCGAGAGGATCAGGTAAGATGTTTGCCTCTTATTCTTCCCTCTGCTGGGGTGGGGGGTGGGGGACACACACACACCTTAAGTGTAAAGAGACAGGGTAAAGGGGTGTGTGTGTGTGTTTATTTCAAACTGGCAAATGGAAGGCCCTTCTCTGTTCACTTCGGGGCTTTAAGACAGTCTCTCTCTGTCTCCCCTCTTCCCGCTTTTCCTGGCAGGTGGATGCAGAATCTGGAGAGGGTGGCAGTGGCCACGGAGAAAGCCATCATCATGCCCTTCCGGCAGCCCCGCCAGACGCCCCTCGTGCACCCACCTGTGCCGTTCAGGTGAGAGAGACCCCAACTCTGTATGTTTCCTCTTGCCAGGCTGGGGACCTTGGGGGGATCATGACGTGAGTCTGAGACAGGTGAACTTCACAGGTATGGAACAAAAGCCTGGCATCTTCTTGATTAGCAGACACACATACCCCTTCCAGAGGCTTTATGAAAAGAAGAAAGATCTTTCAGTTGTACCTTCACCAAGTAGCACCCCCACACTGCACCCCCACATCACACACACACACACAACACACACACAACACAAACACAAATGCAGATGCCACGGTCCTGTCCTGGTTGCTCTGCAGTCATTAAGCCTTGAACTATTCCATATCATTAGAGTTAATTTCAGCTCCTTTATATCCATTTGTGTGTCGCAAGAGAGGAGGACAGCCACACTACCACTTCCACATCTGTATTTACCTGTTTTAACAGCTGGACGGGACACTATTTTAAAGGGATGCTGTGGTATCTGTTAGCCAAGTTTCTTGTAGGCCCAGTAAATCAAATGATTGCCTATAAGTAATAAATGCAGGATCAACAAATTTGTTCATCCACCCTGCCATGTTCCATGACAAGATATGTAGAGAACGCTCAGAGTGCTTTACTTCTAATCTATCGGATCTGAACAACCTGTGGTGCCCCAAAAATGCTGCTAGTGTGAAATTTGGCAGTTTGCATCTTCTCATGCTCTTCAGCATCTGTGTCTTGTGCTGATTCCAATGGGCTACCAAGTTCGTGTGGTTCTAGATATCTGTTGGCTAGTCATTCTTTGCCAGAGCAAGGATATTTATTCTGTGTCTAGCAGGGATATTTTCAACCTCTGCCTCAACAGTGATCTTAGTATCAATTTTTGTGTTGTCACAAAGGGATTCCATTGCATCTGTTCCTTCAAGATTGGGCTGGGTACATGTCCGTAAATGTCTCATGGTAGCTTGTCTAATTTGTCCATAATCCTGTGTTGTTCTTCATCAAGGGGTTTGAGGAAGGAGGATATCAATTCTTCTACTGCTGGTTCCACCCGGTCAAATGGGTCTGGGTCCAGCTGTTTGTGGATTGGCAGGGAGTCACTTGAATCGCTTGAGTAGACTCCTTCAAATTTTTCTGGTTGTTCTGCTTCTCTTGGGTTAAAGCGTTGCCCTGATTAGCCTTATTTGACTCTTCCTCTCCTCCTGAGTTTGTGATAGATCTTTGCTGCTGTTCAAAAGGAAGATGTGAAGACCTTTCTACAGTATTTTTAAAGTGCCAGTGGGGAATCACAACTTTCTAGACTAGTTCAAGCCCCTGACCAGTCAAAGTGCCTCTTCCACCTCTGGGGCCAACATTAGTATCTCTCTTTGCGATTGCAATTAGTTTCTGTTCACATAGTCCTATATTTATGGGTAGAGAACCTTCTTTAGGTCTTTTGTTATAAAAACATTTTATTCAAACATTTACAGTGTTTTTTTATTCATAAAAGAAAGTTTATAGGCCTTAATTAATAACATTATTATATGGGGGTGGGTTATTGGTATATTTTTTGTTCTTGCTGTTCTCATGTATTTTGTGCTTTTATGTTGCATTTTTATGCCGTCAACGCCCTGTGATCTGTGGATTAAGGGCAGTATATACCTTTAATAAATACATTTAATAATAACAACTTCCACAAGGTGTGTGTCTCTGCTTTGCCCCCTGCTGTTTGATGGCTGAGGTGTGGACAAGTGTTTTGCAGAGCCCAGCCTGCTACTTACACTGTTTTGCCTATAGAAGAGGCTGTTTCCTAAGGGGATTTAAATTTCAAAGGGCAACTGCCATTTTTCTGTAGCGCTTTCTTGGCATATGGGGCTGTGTTTGTGCTTCTGTATACTTGTAAGCATGCACTTATCCCCATGCATTATATTCATGACAAGAGGATGACACAGCCCTCCACAAAGGGTTAATGCATGCCTGTCTTTAATCCTTCTATGGCTTGGATTGCTGTAAACAGCTTCCATGAATGAATGTGTGTGTGTGACTGAAACAAAGCAGTACAGAAATAATTTCATGAATGAATGGAGTGGCTCTCTCTTTTTCTCTCCCTTGCAGCCCAGAGGGTGCCTGGAAGACCCTGAGGGCAAGCAGCTCCTCCCGACTCCCTCCCCTTCCCAGGTGTCCCCCCCCCCAACAAGGGAAAGGCCAGCTAACAACACAGCCCCCCCTCAGGGGAGAAGGGGGCAGCTTCCACCAGGAACATGCCCCCAACAGAAGGAGCAGCACTCATGCCATCCCAATAGAAAGGGCTGCCACCAAACCCTCCTCACACCAAGAGAAGGAGCAGCCTGCTGCCTGGTCCCCCCAACCCAAGATAGGGGGCAGCCCCCAGCCTCTCTGCAAGAGAAGAGGCCACCCCATCCCACCCTCCCAAACCCCCCTTGTCCCAAGAGTGGCGCAGCAGGAGCCCAGCATTGATTTCTCAAAGACAAGTCATGCCAGACAAATCTCATTTCATTTGTTGATGGAGTTACAAGCTTGGTGGATCAAGGGAATGCTGTGGACATAGTGTATCTTTGTTTCAGTATATCTGAGTTCCATCCTGGCAGGACCTTGAGTATTGAGGAGTACCGGTATTCCTTCATATTAACTTCAGGCAGGTGAAGTTTTCCCCACCATTTATATCCATGAGGGGGAAAGCTTCTTCAGTTCTAAATTTCCACACACCAAAAGCTGGGCCTCTGGAAAAGAGAGCACCCTCACCCCTCACATATTCTCATTGCCACAAAAGAACTGCAATCTCTCCAGGACATTGAATCCATTTTACAGGTGGCTTTTTAAAGCACAACATTTTCTATAAAATTGTGCTTGGACTCGTCACATCGCCTTCTCTACAAAAAGCAGCCACAGGAGCCCCAACCCAAATCAGGGCCGAGGTGCAGCAGGAGATGGATTGAACTCTTTCTGCTCTGTCCTGCTCTCCCAACTTAGATCATAGCTGCCTTTGGGTAAATGGAAATATGTGGCCAGTTTGTGTTTCTGAATCATGTGCTTAAAGTCACATCTCATTTGAAACAACATGTGCATCCTCAAACAGATGTTATCGTGCTGAAGACCCTAATTATAACTTTTTAACAGTAACTTTCCTGGCCATAGCTGACAGCAAGTGGGTGGTTTGCACAGGAGATCATGAGCTTGAGCTTCTTACTGGCAGCAAGGGAATCTCCAGATTTAAGATTTGCCCACATGTCTGATTTCTAAAACAGAAATATGCTATTGTTACACTAGTCCTTATTCTCCAAGTGCATAAATTTCAGGTGGGCAGTGCTCGCCCGGCTTGTTTTCCTTTTAATGAGGTCACTGGAGCCTTCTGACATTTTACAAAAATTGCATTGATTTACAAATCGGAACAGGAACATCAGAAGCTGCCTTAAACCCAAGGTTTCGCACCCAGTGCAACAGAACTGGCTGTGCTTCCCTAAATGTGCCTCTGACAGCAGGCAGCCCCAAACTCTTACCAGCTCCAGCTACGCTTTCTGATCCTCAGCCTGCACCACTCTCAAACTACAGGCTGCTTGCGTTTTTGCCAAGGACATGCTGGACACATTTCTCTGCTGGGAGGATGGCAAAGCCTTGGTTCCCAAAGAGTTCCCTCCATCCAGAACAGAAGCGGAGACCCTCAGGCCAGACACAGCCCCCCAGGCCTCCCTCTCTCTGGCCCTCAGAACTCTTCCCAGGCCACAGCCCCTTTCCTCAGAGCCACACCACTCACTGGCCCTCCTTCTCCCCCAGCTGTTTCTCCCTGGTGGTTGGAAAGTGTCCACCAGGGATGCATCTCACTTGTCAGAACGAGGCATAGTCAGACCCTCCAACATTTCTCCAATCAAAATAGGGACATCCAAAAGAAAAGTGGGACATTTCAGGATCAAATCAGAAACCAGGATGGCTTCTGTAAATCAGGGACTGTCCCTGGAAAATAAGGACACTTGGAGGGTCTGGATACACAGGGCTTTGTGAGTGTGGGAGAAAACTGGCTTAATGTACAAAGGTGGAATTTACATTCATTGCCCCACCCATTTTTCAATGCTCCACCCATTTTTGCCTCAGGCACTGCTATCTAATGGTGTGTGGTCTCCAAAAGGTGGGCCAGAATGGAGAATACAGCTCTTCAGTTGAAAAAAATTCCCCATCCCTTAACGAAATCTCCTTAACAAAAGAAAGGCATTTGTCCACCCTGCCAGCACCATTGAGATAACTGCCCCCAATTCTTAGGGTTCCACTAAACCTTCTCTTGCCAAGCCACAATCTCACAATCAACCACAAAGCTGGAAGGCACTTGGAGGGTTAATCCTCAGTCCCATGACTGTACATTTCACATTAATATTCCCATCTTAAAAATATGAGAACAGTGTGTTATTTGTCGTGGATGGCAGGGGTGGGGGAGCCGCATATGCTTGGTGTAAATTTGTATGCATGCTCAACCAATAGTGGTAGAGTTCTGGTGAGGGATGGAACAAGATGAACTTAGGGCTTGGAAACTCCTACCATGGACCTCGATACACCCTTCCCACCTGCCCTCGAAACACTCCAGTCTTCACAGCCATCATTGCCTTTGCTTAGTCCTCCAGCTACTGGAGGAGATGTGCCGATCCGCATGCCAATTTTCTTCAGGATTCAAGACACATGCTGCCTTGTAAAATTAAGGGGAATGTGGGAAATGCAATCATGACATCTCCTATTAGTCTAAAGAAAGGACAAATGCACAGGAGATTTCCAGACCTCAAAGTACTCACATGAGGTCTCCAGGGCTGTATAATCTTCATCTTCTTTGGCAAGTCTAATAAAAGACATCATAATTACTATACTTGGGTCTTTGACAGCTCCCCCCCCCCATCTCACATAATGGAAAGGTTTTTATAGAGAGAGAAATATGTCCAAAGAAGGAGTCTGGTAGGTTGCTGGGGCTGCTTATAGTGGAGTCGTCTTTAATGGAGAGGGCTTGCTTTGGCAAGGTCAAGGGATTCTTTGGACACTGTAGCTGGCAATGGCATGATCTAGCACTGGGCAGGAGGAGGACACAGCAGGAGTTCAACGCACATAATCTGCTGGTTATGTGATTGGTAGTTTATACAACATGCAGTAGCAGCAGGCAGGGCAGAGCAGTGGCCATGTTGGACACCTGGTTTCCCAATGCAGAGGTTGCTGTGAGAAACAGAGAGGGGAGGGGCATGGCAGTGGGCAGGTCAGCACGGTGACGGTGCAGCAGCAGGACCATTGGATTGGCTCCGCTGCTGCACCTGCACGGCACAGACCTCCCTGCCGCTTCACTCATCCCCTTCTCCTTCTCAATTACTTCTCAGTTGCTCCACATTGGAAAGCCAAGTAAACAACAATTCTGACCCACTATTGATAACACAGTCAAGAGCTACTAGAGCTGGACTGGTAACCCTTGAGGCCAACAAAATCAGTGAATTTTAGCCATCATTGTATATGGCAGGTGATGAACCTGGTGTCCTCCTGATGTTTTGTTGGAGACCATCTCCCATGACCCCCAGCCAGCATAAGCAGTGGTCAGGAATTATGGGAGCTGTAGCTCCATATCCCTGGTGTAGGAAAACAAAAACACGGGTGAACTAGGGCACTGTCCCCATCAACCGTCCCTAAGCTGGTGCCTTCCAGATGTTTTGACTACAACTCCCATCAGGCCCAGTCAACACAGACATACTAGCTGGGCTGATGGATGTTGTAGTCCAAAACACCTTGAGGTCTCCACATTGAGGAAAGCAGGTCTAATCTAAATTATAATGGTAATCACGGTGTTTAAAAGCTGTTTAACACATTAAAAGATTAAAAACCATGAATATTTTTAACTCCTTCTCTTGACTCAACAACAATGAAATGAAACTGAAAGGGTCAAAGTACGAGTAGTAGTGGGGAATGGATCTAGGGAGAGGGTCAGATCCTGAACTCTCTCATCTCTTTGACAAGTGGGTCCTCAAGCTGAAAGTTTCCCCACCTTCCCCCTAGAAGGTGGGGGTTGGCCCTTGTGATCAGTTGCTGAAGGACTCTAGGCGATAGACCTGAGTAGTGGCTAAAGTGCCTTGGCTCAGGTAACAGGTCACAGCCAGGTTGTCTGACTTGTGTTTTTCTTCTGTATAGATTTAGCATATCCTCCTGGGAACCCAAGAGGCAAATAAGTGTGCTGTGTGCCCTCGCAGTTGGGAGGGTAACAGGACAGACTCTTGCCTCCAGCAAAGCTGGTTAGCTCATTAAGTGAATCCAGGCAGTCAATAATTCAATAGGAGAGTTCTAAGCCAGCCAAAGAGCTCTGCAGAGAGATTTGTCCACCGCAGGAGAGAACAAGATTGACACCCTGTCGTGCCTAGGCCATATTTTGCCATTTCTGCCTGGAAAAGGAACAGCTGAGATACATGGCAGAGGGGACACCAGAGGTAGAATTTGGGGGTCAGCAATGGATGGGATGGCTACATGCCTAGTTATTTTAAAAGCTGGGACCACCCTACCTAGTTGCTATTATCTTGCACTCCCATTTTTTGAACTGTTTGCTTGTGTTATGTTCAAAGGAAATGATGTAAATGTTTAGAAAAATTAGCTTTCTATTTGTTTGCTTTGTTTTGATCAAAAAGGTGGGTGCATGGATAGGCACACTCAGCAGGCTCAGGAGTGCCTCAGTTCCTTCTTCCCATTTGTTTGACTAGTCTAGGATTTCCAACCTCAAGATGTTTTGGACTATAAGACCCACCTGCTCTGGACTGATAACAGCTGGAGTCCCAAACATATGAAGGGCACCAGAATGGTGAGGGCGGGACTAGCTTATTCTCCTGAGTGCTTCATGCTGAATAATGGCCTATAAAGAGCAGCAATTTAATGTGATGTGTCAGGTGCCTCTAAAACAGTCATGGGGACCCCATGGCCCTGCAGATGTTATTGGACTCCAACTCCCATCATGGCCAATGGTCATGGATGAAGGGAGTTGTAGTCCAGTAATATCTGGAAAGCCACAGGTTTGCCACATCTGCCCTAGAGAGATGCAGGGACTGGAGATCACAAAGCTTCAAAGAGGACTACCTCAAAAGGCCAATTCCTTGCCAAAGGATCCCTTTGTTTGAAATGTCATTTGGGTGACTCAAAAAATGGTCACTCATTCTGGCCTGAAGAGCAAGTCCTTGCCATTTCTGGATGGTCTTCATAGGAAAAACTCATCTATGGCCCATCTAGTCAGTATTCCAAGAGCAGCAGCCGTAATCATCTCCCCTCCCCACAAAAAAAGCCCACTGATAAGATCCCAAAAGATCTGCATGGTGGTTACCTCCGTGCCAACTAAATTCTCCAGGACCCTCCCCTCATTTTATTTCATGTGTGTGCACGCTGGGTGAAGGAACTGCTCATTTCTCAAATGCTCTGCCCATGTGCGTGTCCATGAACCGGCATGCATGGCTTGCTTGGAATTTAATGTTCCTACACAGAACATTGAACCCATTAAAAATGAGCAATGGGGAGAAGGTGGAGTTCCCTTTCTTCCCTTGGCTGAAGGCCTCAACAGCTGCTCAGGTTTTAGTCTTCTTTAACTCTTTGGGTGGAGGCATTCATAAAACCTGGAGGCTGCATTCCTTGTAGGGAAGCTCAGGCCTGAGCTCAAGAGGCAGCCATCTAGGCCTCTCTGTCTGGTCCTGGGCACTCTCATTAGGTCACACCATCCCAGGTCAGATCCATCACTGGCCATGCTCCATGCATTATCAATTGGCATAAAATATGAGTCTGTTAATACCGGGGTGTCTATACACCCCTTTTCCCCCCGAGGGGGCTAATGCAGCCCACCAGCATTTTTTCCTGGCCCCCTCTTTTTATTTTTTATTTATTTATGATTTTCAATTTTATACATTTCAATAATTTTACAATCATTTTAGCATATTGAAACTCAACTGCCTTCCTCCTCTTTCTGCGGTTCCTTAAATTTATTTTTAATATTTTCTGCATAATCCAAATTAACTTAATTTGCTCATTTATTAATTTACTTTATATATATATTCTTATAAAAACTGCAGGTACTGCAATAATCCTGCCAATCCTGCCAATGGTCAACAAACCATTTCCATTCTTTTTTTTTAAAAAAAAGTTATCTTGATTTCTTACTTTTCCAGTACGTTTCACCATTTCTGCATATTCAGTAAGTTTTTGTATCCATTCTTCTTTTGCTGGGACTTCTTTTTCTTTCCATTTTTGGGCTGCTGTAGTTGCATACAAAAATAAATTTCTATAGGGTTTGAGTAATTCTGTCTCCCTAATTCCCAAAAAGAAAGCTGGGTTTTTTTTTACAAATTATTTAAAAAATCTTTTTCAATTCATTATATATCATCTCCCAGTAGGCTTTAACCTTACTACAAAACCACCACATAGAACATTCATGTCCAAAGTCCGGCACAGGGTCCTAATCCGGTTAATCTGACCCCTGTGACATTGGGGGGGGCGGGAATCCAAAAAGAAGCTCAACAACTTCAACCCTAAAAAAAGGTCAACAAAAAGGTCGGCCCTCATGCATGTTCACTTCATCAAATCTGGCCCTCTTTGAAAAAAGTTTGGACACCTCTGACATAGAACCTTCTTTCTCTTTACATTTCCAACACTTATTTGATTTCGATTTATGCATTTTTGCCAATTTACTCAGTGTTAGATACCATCAATAATATAACATTTTCACATTATTTTCTCTTAAACCATGGCATGCTGTAAATTTTATATCCATTTTCCTGGCCCCCTCAAGTCCCCCTCAATGTTTGCAGTAGTTGAAAAATAAGTAAAGTAGAGCCCAGTGCCCGGATGGGGAGTTCAGTCCCTCATGGCTCCCCAGTCATCAGACCAATTATTTGATGAGCAGGCAACAGCCTCCTATATTTATGCATTGATTCATTGATTCATTCATTTACTGCTTTTACTGTGTATCTCACCTGTTTCTCCAAAGAGCTCAAAGTGGTGCGCATGGTTCTCCTCATCCTCGTTTAAACTCCACAAGTAATCTCACAAATAGGTTAGGCTGAGAGGCAGTGACTGGTCCCAGGCCACGGAGAAAGCTTCTTAGGCCGAGTGCCAAGGCTTCTGAAATTCTATTTCTCCCCTGTGGTGGCAAAGAGCAAAGAAAACAAGGAAGAGAACTTTTTAATGAGTTTATTCATTCCTAACTGCGAGAGACAACAGAACTCAGCAAGCCCTAACAATGGCGTTGCTCCAACTGGGCTCCTCCTCTGTCCTTCCTCGAAACACCATCTCCCCTCACGGTGGCCACTCATGGCCAATTGTCAGTTGTTTACTGCACCCTTAATGAACACCGAGTTCTGAGAGAAGGGAGATCAGAAATATTCTCCCGTGACCAAGTGTCAGCTGACTGCTCTGCCTCTGTCTCTCCCCCCTCTCCTTTACCAAACACTTCCCAACTTTTCTGTTCATCTGTCTCTGAGCTGTGACCTTCCTCAAACTCCTGCTGTAAATCCATGCTGAATTCCTCTTCTCCTGCAGCGTCACAAGAACGGGTGGGTGCGTGGTTGTGGGTGTGATCTCCACCATTCCTCCTCCATCTCGTCCCCTTGAGTCCAATCCCTGACACCAAGCGGGGATTTGAACCCCTGTCTACCAGGCCCCACTCTGATGCTTTATTCACTATGCCACAATGGCTCTCATAGATTATCTAGGGAGCGGGTCTGGGTACCTGTGCATGTGCCTGCTTCCGTGTGTGCATCCGCCCATCCATGAAGAAGTGTGCATGTGAGAAAGCGTGTGGGGTGGCATGCAGCCCGTGGAAGGCTGCTCAAAGGTGGGCTTTGCCCTTCAGTCCAAAGATAATTAGACACCCTTGTACTAATGTCTATTTATAAATGCCAAGTGAGGAATAATGGCTATACTTTAAACAGAAATGCAACCCCTCTCACTTTAGTGGGGAGGAAGACAACAACCAGGTGATCTGTGTGCCCAGTCAGCCAAAGTTCAGATGCTAAGTGTTGACAAGCAAATTCAAGGCCCCTCCTGCTCTCTCTTCATTCTAGAATCACAGAATTGTGGAGTTGGAAGGGATCTGAGGGTCATCTAGTCTGTCTCCCTGCAATGCAGGAATCTCAACTAGATCATACATGACAGATAGCCATCCAACCTCTGCTAAAAACCTCCAATGGTTTTTAGGCAACAACCTCCCGAAGGAGTCCATTCCACTGTCAAGCAACTCTTATTGCCAAAAAGTTCTTCCTGGTGTTTAGCCGGAATCGCCTTTCTTGTAACTTGATTGCATTGGTTTGGGTCCTAGCCTCTGAAGTAGGAGCAACCTATATTGCTTCATCCTCCATGTGACAGCCCTTGAGATAGTTGAAGAATATCCTTACCAGGCTAAACATTTTGCCTCTTTATCTTTAAGCTCGTCTTGAACCAGGGGACTCTTCAGGTAAAAGAGGTGTGGAGAACCTTTGGCCCTCCAGAGGTTGCTGAACTACAACTTGCACCAGCCCCAGCATGCCTGACCAGTCAGAGATTATGGGAGTTGTAGTTCCAAATCTTTCAAATAGAGGACCATCCTCTGGAATACAGGGCTAACCCTAATTCCATGTCAGAATCGGAGAGATTACGTTTGTGAACCAGTGTCAGGGTAGAATGGAAAGATCAGCCCATTCATTCATTTGGGCCTAAGATCAGAGCTGGACTTTTAAAATTATTATTTTTGGCCAACAATCAAAGACCATTAAACAGGATATTAAACACAGGCAAATATTACAAGACTCAGCAACAGTTTATTACTGCAATAGAGAATGAAATATTTAACAAGTTTAATAAAGCTTAATTGGAAGGAAATTAAAAAATAATGGATATAAGTTCTTAAGAAATAGTCTCAGACTCCTCTCCCTGCAGCCCTGTTTCACAGGCAGTCTTGTGAAACCAAATGATTGCTGTGCTTTTTCATTCTGCTATTCCAACCCACCCAATTCTTTTACATTTGGCATCCCCTGCTAGGGCATATGGTCCTATTTGCCCTTGAGCAATGACCTTTGCCCATGCAACTACATTTGTAGATGGCATGTGAAGATGGCTGCACACATAGGTAAACAGGAGGTTGTGAGCAACAAGCTTGCTTCTTCCCAAAGACCGGACTTTTTTGCGATGAGGAAAGTGATGGTGAAAATGCACCGGAGACTGCGGGATCAAACAAACCAGAATGAATCCTCATTTGATAGCCAACATCACCTAATTTCCCTGCAAACAAATCAGGATGAATGTTCAATAAACAGGGCAGCTGGAAATGCCCCAGGTGTGCTTGGATTGCAGCCTTAAAAAGTTTCCAGGTGCTGCGACATGGGGCATCTTAAAACCATTTTCTGAGAAGGGAAGAACAGATGTAGAGCAGAATAATGCAGACATTTCTTTAGGTATTTTTCTTGGGGAAGTTGATGATAAGATTTTGAGCAGATGGCATGCAACTCTTGCCTGAATGGAACGCAAATTTTAAAAGGGTTAATGGGGCTTGGTGAAAACTATGGAGGGGGAAGCTTTTTTAAAAAAAAAACCATATGTGGTTGTCTGATCAATATTGTTACACTCACACCATTTCTGTGAGCACTGAAAAGATCTAGGGATACTGGAAGTTTCTGGAGGCTTACTGACAATTTGTAAGATTTATGTTTATTTGCAAGTGCACAGGCTGAGCATAGGTAGAGGCAAAGGGCTTAAAACAGGCAGCGAAAGCCCATTGCTCCCATATCAGATCCGCAGGGAGTCAGTCAGCATCCTAGGAGACTCATGATTTGTGCGCATGATGGTATAATGGCAGTTGCACACCATCCCTTTTGATACTGTTTGCACCTACAAAAGTTTTAGGGTGGACATATTGCTTCATTTCAAGTCATGCATGTCCCATAACCTTCTGCTGAAATCCTATAAATTCCTTTACCAGAAATGTTCAGGGCAGGTTGTTTGTTTTTGTTTTTGTTTTGAGTTCCTTCTTTTGTGGTGCTACAGTGCAAGAGTGACCCTCCAGATAGCAATAATGCAGTAACTTTGGGGAAGCATTAGAGGTACATGTGGAATGATGTGTGGCCAGTCCAGTATAAATTCAGCACTATTGCACTATCATTGCATCAATGACTCATTGAAGGATGCACTTCCAAAAAATTGACCGGTGCAACCTGAATTTACCAGCCTGGTCTCACAGTGGCCAGCAAGAGCTCTATGGGAAGCTCCCATGTCTGGCCAGACCCATTGGGCCCTAGTTTAAATATAGGACTGCCTAAGGGAGTCTATATTTTATGCGCAAAATGCATCTCTGCTAATTTTTGCTAAATACTGGACAGCAAAGGTTGAAGTCGGGGACTGAAAGTACTTAGGAAAAGTGTCTTTTCCTTAGCTGGAGCAGTTTTTTGCTCCTCCTTTTCTTCTAATTTCTCTCCTCGTTGCTTTGGTCTTCCTGTCTCCTCTCCTTGCAAGTTTGCTGTCTTGACCTCCCTCTTCCCAGGCAGCCTCCTTTATTGCTAGCATCCCTTATCTCCCTCCCCGATCGCTTGCAGATTAGCAGCTTTGTTTCAACACCCACTTCCCTCTTTTTTTAAAAAAAAAGAAGAAGTATGATCTGCTTTTTGCCCCTGTGCAGTTTGGCTCCAGGGACCACGCATTCAGTCCATAAGACGCACAGACATTTCCTCTTACTTTTAAGGAAGAAAAAAGTGCGTCTTATGGAGCGAAAAATACGGTATGTTAAGATACCAGAAGCATTCCTCCTAGGGATTTTAAATCAAGAAATATGAAAAGACAACTGGAAATTATTTATGTATGCAACAACAGAAGCAACAATTCTACTAGCACAAGCTTGGAAGACAGAAGAAATCTCAACGAAAGAACAATGGAAAGAGAAACTTATGGAATATGCAGAATCAGCAAAATTAACAGATAAATTACATGAAAGGGACAACAAAGACTTCAAAAGAGAATAGGAACCACTTACAATATATATGAAGAGACAACATGAAGAGTTGGGCTCATTGGCAGGGCTTGAGTAAACATTCACAAATGTATACAATAAAAAATAGCTGTAAATGTATTAGGAACTAACTGGGGAAATAATATGCAGGATGAGTAAATTGAAAGTAAAACAAAGTGAAAGTATGAGGGAAGTCCAGGGGAGGGGGGCAGGAAAAAATGGAAAATTGTTAGAGAGATATGTCATAAAGGATATATTTATTGAAAAACCAATAAATATTATTATTATTGTTATTATTATTTTAAAAATAGAGAATATTTCTGATCCCCCTTCTCCCAGAACTCGGTGTTCGTTAAGAGTGCAGTAAACACTAAAGTGAGAGGGATTGCATATTCCTCACTTGGCATTTATAAATAGACATTAGTACAAGGGTGGCTCATTATCTTTGGACTCAAGGGCAAAGCCCACCTTTGAGCAGCCTTCCACAGGCTGCATGCTACCCCACACGCTTTCTCACATGCACACTCCTTCATGGATGGGCGGATGCACACACGGAAGCAGGCACATGCACAGGTACCCAGACCCGTTTCCTAAATAATCTATGAGAGCCATTGTGGCATAGTGGATAAAGCATCAGAGTGGGGCCTGGTAGACAGGGGTTCAAATCCCCGCTTGGTGTCAGGGATTGGACTCAAGGGGACGAGATGGAGGAGGAATGGTGGAGATCACACCCACAACCACGCACCCACCCGTTCTCGTGACGCTGCAGGAGAAGAGGAATTCAGCATGGATTTACAGCAGGAGTTTGAGGAAGGTCACAGCTCAGAGACAGACGAACAGAAAAGTTGGGAAGTGTTAGAAGAAGGAGGGGGGAGACAGAGGCAGAGCAGTCAGCTGACACTTGGTCACAGGAGAATATTTCTGATCCCCCTTCTCCCAGAACTCGGTGTTCATTAAGGGTGCAGTAAACAACTGACAATTGGCCATGAGTGGCCACCGTGAGGGGAGATGGTGTTTCTAGGAAGGACAGAGGAGGAGCCCAGTTGGAGCAACGCCATTGTTAGGGCTTGCTGAGTTCTGTTGTCTCTCGCAGTTAGGAATGAATAAACTCATTAAAAAGTTCTTTCCTTTGTTTTCTCTGCTCTTTGCCACCACGGGGAAGAAATAGAATTCCAGAAGCCTTGGCACTTGGCCTAAGAAGCTATCTCCGTGGCCTGGGACCAGTCAGTGCCTCTCAGCCTAACCTATTTGTGAGATTACTTGTGGAGTTTAAACGAGGATGAGGAGAACCATGCGCACCACTTTGAGCTCCTTTGAGAAACAGGTGAGATACACAGTAAATGCAGTAAATGAATGAATCAATGAATCATTGCATAAATATAGGAGGCTGTTGCCTGCTCATCAAATAATTGGTCTGATGACTGGGGAGCCATGAGGGACTGAACTCCCCATCCGGGCACTGGGCTCTACTTTACTTATTTTTCAACTACTGCAAACATTGAGGGGGACTTGAGGGGGCCAGGAAAATGGATATAAAATTTACAGCATGCCATGGTTTAAGAGAAAATAATGTGAAAATGTTATATTATTGATGGTATCTAACACTGAATAAATTGGCAAAAATGTACAAATCAAAATCGAAACACACACATACACAGATCCGTCCTCCTGACACTGCAGGAAAAGAGGAATGTGGCATGGATTTACAGCAGGAGTTTGAGGAAGGTCACAGCTCAGAGACAGACGGACAGAAAAGTTGGGAAATGTTAGGAGAAGGAGGGGGGAGACAGAGGCAGAGCAGTCAGCTGACACTTGGTCACAGGAGAATATTTCTAATCCCCTTATACATTTTAGCCACTTTCTCTGGTGTAATGTACCATCTATACATCATCTTCATATAATTTTCTTTCAATAAAATACAGTCTGTGAATTTTAAATTCACCTTCCACATCCTTTCCCAATCTTCAAATTGTATATTATGACCTAAATCTTGAGCCTGCTTTATTTGGGCTGACTTTACCATCTCATCCAATGTTTCCCCATATAGCAGCAGAATATATGATTTTTAAGTAATTTTTCTTGATCTCATTCCAAACTTTCTCATGGTTGTCTTTGTACAAATTCAATTTTTTATTGGTAAGCCAGATTCCTAGGTATTTGACTTTTTAATGAATTTCTATCTTTGTGATCTCCTGGAACTCCTTTTTCTCCACTTCGGTCACATTTTTGTCTTTTCTTTATTTAATTTAAACCCTGCCACTCGCCCAAACTCTTGTATTTTTCCTAAGACTTTAGGGAGACATGTTTTTGGCTCTTCTACTGTAATTACCAAATCATCTGCAAATGCTTTCAATTTCAATTCATTTCCCCCCTGCTCTTATTTCCATAATCTGTTTATCTTCTCTTACATATTTCTATTCAAAACCTCCAGGACCAAGATGAATAATAAAGGTGATAGCGGACATCCTTGCCGCCTTCCTTTTTCTATTTTGAATTGGTTCGTTATCACCTTATTAATAATCAATTTTGCATTCTGCTCTGTGTATACAGCTTGTATCCCTTTTGTGAATCTCTCTCCAAATTCCATTTCTTCCATCACTTTCTTCATAAAATCCCAAGATATATTATCAAATGCTTTTTCCGCGTCTATAAACATCATTGCTGCTTTTTTCTCATTTCTTACTACTAAATATTCTATTATATTTAAAATATTTCTTATATTATCTTTCAACTGTCTACCAGGAAGGAATCCTGCTTGGTCTGAATGTATATAAGCTTTTAAGACCTTTTTCAATCTATTGGCTAAAATATTAGCAAATATCTTGTAATCATTGTTTAATAATGAAATAGGTCTATAATTTTTGACCAAGGTCAGGTCTGTATCCTGTTTTGGAATCAAAGTAATGTATGCTTCCTTCCATGTTTCTGAAATTTTCCCTTTTGTTAATATTTCATTCATAAGTCACTCTTATTTCTTTTGCTTTTTTCTACAATTTTCCCATTGGAATTAATTTTTCCTATATGGTACATCAGTTGACTTCTCCTTAGTTGCCATGCTAACAACTTTCCTGGCTTATTTGCATGTTCAAAAAAATTCTTTTTTTTTTTTTACCTTCCATGCTATTTCCTCATTAATTATCATTGAATATTGAGATTGTAATAATTTTATGGCCTGTTTTATTTATTGTTTGGATTTCTTCCTAAATCTTTTTCTTTCTTTGATATGGCATCCAAAATTTCTTTTTTCTTTGTTTCCCTATATCTTTTTTTTTTTTTTTGCAGTATTTTGTTGTATAAAAAGACCTCTCATGACTGCTTTGCTTGCCTCCCATACCATTTGGATTTTAGTTTCTTTATTTAAATTTAATTTGAAATATTCTTCTAATTTATTTGTTTTTGCATTGTCTACTATATTTGATCATCCAATAAATCATCATTAAGTCTCCATCTAAAAGCTGACTGTTCTTCCTTTCGCATTTCCATAAACATTGGGTTATGGTCCGATAAAAACCTCGGATTTATCTCAATTTTCCTCACTTTTATTTCCAACTCTTTAGTGAGCCAAATGGCATCTATTCTCACATTGCTCTCATAGACATGAGAATAATACGTGAACTGCTCATCCATTAAATGCCTTACTCTCCAGATGTCTACCAGATTCAAAGTTTGGGCCATATCAAAGAAAGTTTTTGGAAGTTTCCCTCCCTTTGTCTCTTTCTTCTAATGGTCCTATCCATTTCCAATGAGGGCACTCCAGTCAGGTCTCCCATTATTATGATTTTTGGTATTCTGGCTGGTATTCTGGTGTTTGTTTGTTTTTTAATAAAACCTCCTATGTACTAATAATGGTAATCTCATTCTCTGGTTTTCATTCATTTTGTAGTGAAAATGGCCCCTTCAGGGTGGTATCGTCAGGCTCAAAATATCATGTAAAACATATTGTTTTTCTTAGGTTGCAGTTTTGTACATTTTGTTTCTTAGGAAATGCTAATAAAACACGATTTTAAAAATGCAGAGGGTGGGGACACACACACAAATATACATATATATATATGCAGCTCTTGCTTGTTACGGCCTATGAAATATCATGACAATATCAAAGTTGTAAGGAACATATTAGGTTTCAGTTTTAAATTGCATATCAGCAGAAACACACATGGGTAACACACACTTTGATTACCTGATTTTGATGCGATGAGCTTTATATTTCTCTCTTCTAATATTGATGACATACATGCATTAAAATACAAGTTCAATATATACTACATTTTCTTCTCGTTTCTTTTTTGAAGAATGGGTCTAGCAATAAAGTCTTGTAAACCAATAAAATCAAGCCCTTTCTATGTCCACTCAGAAGAAAGTCCTAGTGTGTTCATTCCAGGTAACTGTGTAGATGATTGCAGCTTCAGACCAAACTATAGGAGCCTTGAAAGGAACTCAAACCTCATCAAGTCTCTTTTTCTTTCATTACAGATATGTGAGGATGCTACAAAGAGCCTAATTTGCAGGTATTATAATTTGCACCAGGCAATCCTTTTGTTCATAATTTCCCCCAGCTGGCAAACACTCTAGAGACCATGGATCCTTGGAAGCTTAGATGGTCACACCTCCTGAGCATCGGGATTCAGTGCGGGTAAAGGAGGTAGTGGAGATTTCCTAGGCACTGAAAGCTTTTCTTGCAAAACCAAAAGCCGTTCCACTATGCCATCTTGTTCCTATTTGGGCAGTGGGGGAAAAAGCCACTCATTGATCTTCTACTGCAGAGCTTTCCAAACTGTGTGTTGTGACTTGTTAGTGAATGGGTAGGCAAACTAAGGCCCGGGGGCCGGATCTGGCCCAATCACCTTCTAAATCCGGCCCGCCTGGTGTTTTTACATGAGTAGAATGTGTCATTTTATTTAAAATGCATCTCTGGGTTATTTGTGTGGCCTGCCTGGTGTTTTTACATGAGTAGAATCTGTGCTTTTATTTAAAATGCATTTGTGATGGCCTGGGAATCTGATTCAGAAGCTGAACCTGAGGAGTCCCAGCCTGCGCAGGAGTCCCCGCCGGATCCTCAGGAGCAGACACCAGATGTATCCACTCTGGCTCCGGAGGTGATTGAGGACCCATTGCCTGCAGGTGCGCCTCTCCCAGCCCTGTCAGGGGAAGGTGAAGCTGCCCCTGGGTCCAGTAACCCTCCAGCCTCTCCTGAGCTGCAGAGGCTCAGGGCAGAGAGGCGGAGGGAACTGGGTTCTCTCAGGAGGAGTGCTCGCCTTAAGGCCAGGAGAGGCGGGTCACCTGTGGGCTGGGACCGCCCCTGGCCTCGGAGGAGATAAAGGCCAGTCAGCCCAGTCCCTGGTTGCAGGAGCAACGTCGTCGGAAACCTGTTTCTGCCAGCACCCAGACCTGTTCTTCCGGAGTTCCCAACCACGCCCGGCTTCTTGCTTCGGACCCCGCTTCGCCCTTTGTGGACAGTCTCCAGACCCTTGACCCAAGACCGGACTCTGACCACGCCTCACGGTAACCTCCCCCCGGGACCAGCGCAGCATTTCTGGGTTATTTATGGGGCATAGAAATTTGTCCATTCCCCCCCCAAAAAAATATAGTCCGGCCCCCCACTAGGTCTGAGGGACAGTGGACCGGCTCGCTGCTGAAAAAGTTTGCTGACCCCTGTAGTGTGTCAGCTGCAATGTGTAGGTGTGTCTTGTGAATGGTCCCTGTGATCCTCCCAGGGCTGGAAAGGAGTTAGTTTAACCTCCAGTTTGCTAGTAAAACTGAATTACTGTGCCGCGAAATGATGTATGTCTAAAAACATGTGTCACCAACATGAAAAGTTTGCATAGCTCTGTTCTAAGGGGTTAAACTGACCATTACCAGGAAAAACAGGCAAAGGGGTATGGAGCCATAGTTATGCAGCAACATGGGCATGGGCAGATCCAAAAGCAGGCAACAGCTCCTCTGCCAGGTAACCCTGAAACAATCCACATGGTGGCTTCATGACTTTGCAGGGTAGTGGATGTCAGCCTTAGCAAGATGGGGAGGGATTGGAGAGATAGAGGCCACTTGCAGGCTGTTGCTGTTTTCCAGTGGGATAATAATAATAATAATAATAATAATAATAAATAATTATTATTTATTTCTACCCCACCGATCTGGCTGGGTTTCCCCAGCCACTCTGGGTGGCTTCCAACAAAAGATTAAAAATACATGAAAACATCAGTCATTAAAAACTTTCCTAAACAGGGCTAAAAATCACATCTCAGCAAATTCAAGTTGTGCAAAGACAGTTGATTGAGAGGCCCTGTGCAATAAATCCACTTCCCCAAAATACTGGACTTTTTGGAGACTTCCGGGTTGGCGCCTCTGGCAATGGCGGATTTCCTCCGATCAGGAGGAACCCGCTCCGCGAAAAACAGGGTCTGAACCGCCACGGCGAGGCGGAGACCCATTAAAAACCACAGGCGGGAGAAAGCCTGTGGACGTGGGATTCGGCTGGAACCTTTTGCGCCTCCCCTACTCACAGGGAAACCCTGTTTTGGGGATCCGGAGCGACGTGGGGTGAGTGGCGCGGTGCTTTGAATCGACTGCTTTTTTCACGGAGTGAAGCCGCATTGCTGTTGCCGGAGAGCGCTGACTTTTTCCTGTGGACAATTGGATTTCAAACAACTACTTGTGAGTAAATCGGAAAATTGGATTTTTAAATATTTTAATTCGGCACTGAAGCGGGAGGTCACAAACAGGAAGTCCGCCTTCCGTTTTTGTAAATAGACTGAAGCAAAGACGTTACAAGTAAAGCCTTTGAAAGCTTTTGGCAAAGGATTAAATTTCCACCGGCTTAAAGTTACAAAACCCCCTTGGGAAGCAGGAGAATAGGGGGAAATTTTGGATCTAGTGAGCCTGCAGGAGAGAGTGAAGAAATCAGATTACCACTGCTCTGAACCTGGGAACGGGCTGCCAGATGAGGATTGAAGAGAGTGCTTTTGACAGAACGGATTTGACAGTTAGCTAAACAAGAGTAAGATACTGTTTCCATTGTCCCTTTCTGCGTTTAAAAAAAGAGGAAAAGTAACTGAAATTTTATCTTTAATGTTTGAAATTGTGCTTAAAAGAACTGATACAAGTGGAGACTGTTTCCCTCTAGAGGGAGCTTTTGAAACTGTAACAGGACTGTAACTGGGGAATTTCCACCTGCAGAAAAGGAGTTTGGGAACCAGAGAGTGACCTTGGGCTATTTAAAAATGTTGATAGGAGAGGACATTGTGACTGTTTTATGTAAGATAAGCTGTTCGTTGGGACAGCTTCACAAGAAGATGGATGATATGACTTTTAAAGTTGATAATTTGGAACAGAAAGTGACCAACTTGAGTCAAAAAGCGAACACTAACACAGAAATAATTCAGGACTTGGTACAGGAACCTATTTTGGCAGGACAAATGGTGGAGGAGAAGGAGGTGAAGGAGAAGGAGAATGCAGCTGTTGTTCAACATAACATAATACAAGTGAGATCTGTGGATTTACAGAAGCAAATTGGAGATTATAAGTTGAAGCCTTCTATGATTGAATTCAGGAAAAGTCAGACTCCGAGGAATGGATCCCGGTTTGGATTAAAGAAGGAAAGTTGGAAAGAGCCCTCTATGCAGGGACTAACTGACTTTTGGGACATGGACTCGGGCCTTGAGGAGATTGAAGTTTGGGGGGGCCTTTCGAATTGGAGGAACTTTGAAATATACCCGGAAATACTTTATGGACTGTAGTTTTAACTATGGAAACTCAGCTGATTTGTCCAGAAGGAAGAAAAGGATTGACAGGTTGGAATTTCCCCGAGATTGGCTCTTTAGCATTAAAGAAAATGAAGAAGACATGCAGAAGGGACTTGGAAAAGAGTTAAGAGCCTCGGATATAAGGTCACCAGGTTGATGGTCTTTTTGGAATTGATGGAAAGGACTGGCAGAATCCGAAACCTGGGAGAAGAGATGGTGGAAGAAGATTGGAAAATTTAAAGATTGCAGGATTTAAATTGAAGATTGCAGGATTTAAATTGAACAAGTTAAAAACTAAGGTTTTTTTTTTTTTTTGGTAAAATCTAAGGTTTTAGAGAAAAATCTAACACCGACTGAGAGAGAGAGGTTTCAGAATGAGACAGGTTTAACAGTGGTTAAGAAAGTTAAATACCTGGGGATTAACATGACAGCAAAAAATGGGAACTTATTTAAAGATAACTATGAAAAATGTTGGGCGGAAGTGAAAAAAGATTTAGAAATTTGGTCAAATTTGAAGCTTTCACTGCTGGGCCGTATTGCTGCGATAAAAATGAATGTATTGCCTAGAATGTTGTTCTTGTTTCAAACTCTGCAAATTGTGGACAAAATGGACTGTTTCAAGAGGTGGCAGAAAGATATTTCTAGATTCGTCTGGCAGGGCAAGAAGCCCAGAATAAAATTTAAAATACTAACAGATGCAAAGGAAAGAGGTGGATTTGCCCTGCCAGACCTTAAACTTTACTATGAATCAGCAGCTTTTTGCTGGTTGAAAGATTGGCTGCTTCTTGAAAACACTGACATTTTGGATTTAGAAGGTTTTAACAATGTATTTGGATGGCATGCATATCTATGGTATGATAAGGTCAAAGCACATAAAGCATTTAAAAACCATATTGTCAGGAAAGCGCTGTTTAATGTTTGGATAAGATATAAGGACCTATTAGAAAACAAAACTCCAAGGTGGCTGTCACCAATGGAAGCGAAAGCCTTGAAAAGCTCAATATGGAGGTCAAATGGCCGAAATATTGGGAAATTTTGGAACAAGATGGAGATAGACTGAAATTGCAGAGTTTTGAAAAACTAAGAAACAAAGTGCGAGACTGGCTTCATTACTTTCAGATAATGGAGGCATTTAAATTGGACAAGAAAATTGGCTTCCAGGTGGAAAAATCAAAATTAGAAACTGAACTGTTAGAACCCAAAACTAAGAATTTGTCAAGAATGTATAACTTGCTGCTGAAATGGAACACTCAGGATGAAACGGTAAAATCGGCTATGATTAAATGGGCACAAGACGTTGGACACAACATTATGTTTGCTGACTGGGAGCAGTTATGGACCACAGGTATGAAATTTACGGCATGTAATGCCCTAAGAGAGAATATTATGAAAATGATATACAGGTGGTACATAACCCCAGTCAAGCTTGCAAAATCTATCATTTGCCCGATAATAAATGTTGGAAGTGTAAAGAAACTGAAGGTACATTTTTTCACCTTTGGTGGACATACCCAAAGATTAAGGCTTTCTGGGAAATGATATATAATGAATTAAAAAAGGTATTCAAATATACCTTCCCCAAGAAACCAGAGGCCTTTCTCCTGGGCATAGTCGGCCAAATGGTGATTAAAAAGGATAGAACTTTCTTTATGTATGCAACAACAGCAGCAAGAATACTCATTGCAAAGTATTGGAAGACACAAGAGCTTCCCACACTGGAGGAATGGCAGATGAAACTGATGGACTATATGGAACTGGCGGAAATGACTGGTAGAATCCGTGACCAGGGAGAAGAGTCGGTGGAGGAAGATTGGAAGAAATTCAAAGACTATCTGCAGAAACATTGCAAAAGTAAAGAATGTTAGAGTGATGTTGGATTAAAAATAAGTGGTTTCCAGCTGTTTAGGATTTAAAATTATAGATAGATCAAGATTAAGGATTAGGATTAAAAAAGTTTAAGGAAATGGAAATTTGGTTTTTAAAAGGTAAAATTTTAATGTTATATTATATTAAGAGTTAAGATTGGGATTAAAAAAGAGGGAAAGAAATTGCTGGACAAACAATTTGAACTGGAATACAAAAGAGGGAGGTATGAGGAGGTCCAGAAAATAAGTAAATTTAAAAATGGAGACGAAAAGGTGATATTGTTTTTAATTGTTTTACTTTCTTTTTTGTCTTTTGTTTTCTTATTTCTCTATTTTTTTTCTTTTAGATTATGTATTGTATATTTTGAATTGTGTATTTCTTTTTTATGTTTTATGTTTAATCTTTTATTGAAACTTTAATAAATATCATTTTAAAAAAAATAAACTTTTTATATAGACTTATGGTAAAACTAATGAGTGATAGAAAAATGGTGGAATGATTTTTTATTTTTTTATTTTTATTTCTTATGGGCTTAATAGAAATGTTATAAGGAGTTAAGTACATATAAGTAATTTAGTTTTAATGGAAAATAAGGTTAAAATAATACGTTATTTACAATATCACAGAAAATGGAGAAAGATGGAAAGGATTTGCTGAAACAATTAATAGAAGCGGAATACAAAAAGGGAGGTGTGAGGGGGTCGAGGAAACAAGGGAATGAAAGATAGAGTATGGAAAAGAGAGGATGTATGTTTTTTTTAAATTGTTTTTGTTTTGGGGAGTGGGGTTTGTTTAGTTTAGCTTAATGTGTTTAGTTTTGAGTTTAGGTTGTGTTTTGTATTGTTTATATATTGTACTGTATGGTGTATGGTGTATTTGTTTTTTTTCTTCTATTTGTTTTTTTCCTCTGTTTTTTCTCTTTTGTTTTTTTCCCCTCTCTTTTTGTAATCTATAAAAGTAATAAATATTATTTTTAAAAAAATACTGGACTTTTTGCAACAAGGAAAGTGAAGGGGAAGTGTGGGATGACACTTGCTTGATGCAACATCATCTAACCTCCCCAGAAACAAATCAGGATGAATGTTCAATAAGCACCCATCTCCTTGCCAAACCTCTTTCCCATGCCTGGAAGGGAAAGCATAATTCAAATCTTCAATCTGCTGCACTCCACAGTCATGCACCTGATTGAAACTGACCTTAGCCCAGCCTTTCTCAACCTGTGGGTCCCAAGATGTTGTTGGACTACAACTCCCATCATCCCTGAGCTCTGGCCTTGCTAGCTAGGGGTGATGGGAGTTGTAGTTCAACAACATCTGGGACCCACAGGTGAGAAAGGCTGCTTTAGCCCATGAAAACTTATACCATAATGACTCTGTTGGTCTTTTAACTTGCCACAAGACTCCTTGTGTATTCATTGCTTTGTTCTGTGACTGCTAGTACACATTAAGAACACATCTACAGCATCTGGCTGGAAAAAACTAGCATGATTTGAGAACATAGGAAGCTGCCTTCAAGCAAGTTAGACCATTGATCCCTGTAGTCCAGAACCGTCTTCACTAACAGAAGCTCTTTGGGGTTCCAGGCAGGGTTCCCTCCCAGCCCTACCCAGAGGTGATAGTAATAATAATAATAATAACTTTTATTTATACCCCACCCTCCCCGGCCAGAGCCGGGCTCAGGGCAGCTAACACCAGTAAAATTACAGTAAAAACATAATGGCGGGGACAATTTAAAATACAGGTTAAAATGCAATTTAAAATGCAGCCTCATTTTAATAGTAGCCCATAAATCAAAACCATAAGGGGAGGGAAAACATAAGGGTCAGACTGAGTCCAAACCAAAGGCCAGGCGGAACAGCTCTGTCTTGCAGGCCCTGTGGAAAGATGTCAAGTCCCACAGGGCCCTAGTCTCTTGGGACAGAGCGTTCCACCAAGCTGGGGCCAGTACTGAAAAGGCCCTGGCCCTCGTTGAGACCAATCTAACCACCTTGCGGCTTGGGACCTCCAAAATGTTGTCATTTGTGGACCTTAAGGTCCTCCGCGGGGGATACCAGGAGAGGCGGTCCCGTAGGTACGTGGGTCCTAGGCCGCAGGGATGCCAGGGATTGAACCTGTGACCTTCTGAATGTGAAGCAGGTACTCCACCACTGAGCTACAGCCCCGCCCCCCCGCGCAAGACAACAGCAATCTGTAGCCTTTGGAAGTTTGTTTGTTTTTTGCTGGAGATTCCTTGTCCCCTCACAGAACTGCAGCTCCCTGGCTGGCTCAGAGCTGGCTGACATGTGCTGTGTAACCATTCCCAAAAGCACTTCTGAGCCTCTTTCATGCTATTTGTACACAGTGTGAATGCTGGTCAGGTGGGATCAAAAGCAGAAAAGAGCCAGTTTTTAAAAATCAAATGCACATTTTCTTGCCACTGTAAGTTTTTTCCTCCCCCATTTGGATTGCAGCTCTCCAGATTCCCTCCTGAGAGCAAAAGCAGCAGCAGCAGCAGCTTGTTCCAACGGCCAACTCTGGTATGGGGCTTCTGTCAGCGGCTGCAGCCCAGAAAGTATTGTCAAACGCCCAGGCTCAGCTGGAGGAGCTGAGCAGAGCTGCATCTTTGAAGAGCCCCAGCTGCAAGCAACCCAGAGCCAGAGCCAAGAAGGGACTGGCGGAAGCGAGTGAAGGTCCCCAGCTGGTGGAGATCCTTAGCAAACCAGCTCTCACAAGTGAAAAACCATAGTGAGATGGCTTCTTCCTGGGTAATTGCCTCTTTAGCAGCCTCTTGCTGCCAGTTATCCTTACAATCCTAATTAACAAGCAACCAGATAATTAGGAATTTAATTAAGAAAACCAGACTCTCCAGAAATAGCTGGCATCTTTGGAAAGAATGTGTACGGCATGGCCACCGAGGCATTGTGTCAGCTCCCAGAGTGGGGAATGCTTGACTTGCTTCCTTCACCCCGAGCTCTGCCTCCCAGCGGCCTTGCCACATCACCTGAACATACGAAACTGCCTTATACCAAGTCAGGCCATTATTCCACCTAGCTCTGTATTGTCAACACTGGCTGGTAGCAGCTCTTCAGAGTTTCAAACATAGGTCTTTCCCGGTCCTTGCTGGAGACACCAGGGATAGAACCTGGGACCTTTTCGCATGCCAAGCAGATGTTCTGCCACTGAGCTACAGCCCTTCCCCAAGGGCCAGAGACTCTTTCAGACAGCAGCAGGTAAATCCAGGGTCCTAGCAAGTGATGTTGTCTTTGAGGTCTCATCAGCACCACCCACCTTGGCCAATCATAAGTAGGAGCGGGTTGTTGTACTCATGCCCTGCTTGTAGGCTTTCCATGGATATCTGGAGACCATGTAAACAGGATACTGGATAGTATCCTGGATAGTATACTGGAAACAGGATACTGGACTAGACAGACTTTTGGTTTGATCCAGCAGGGCTCTTCTGATGGAGGTTCAAGAAGAAATGACTTATCCTCTGCAGCTTTCCTACAGGGACAGCTCCTTAACCATCGCTAATGAAGAGGTCTAGTTTCCCATGTAACACTAAGCACTGCTTAACGTTATCTAAGGCTTATAAACCAGCTACAAACCTTGGTTCAGGGGCGCCATCCAGGAGGGCTGCAGGGCCAAGGGCCCCCCAAATTCTGTGGCAACCATGTACACGCACACAGTGCAATGTGCTCACATCACTTGTGCATGCTGTGTGGCACGCTCTTACATGGCATGCATGCGACATGTCAGCCTGTTGCGTCTACACATGGCGTTAGCATGTTGCACGGTGTGTGCACACTGTGCGAGCACATTGCACATTGTGCACACATGACACGGGCACATTGTGCAGCGTGCGCACGTCGCATGGCACCGGTCCCCTCAATTGTGAGGGCAAGCTGGCACACTTGCTGGGCAGCAGTTGAAGAAGGAGCAAAGAGATTGCTGGGCAGCAGTTGAAGAAGGAGCAAAAAGGGTTTTCTTGTGTGTGTGTGTTTCTTTGTGGCTGATTGGCTGCTCTCCCTGTGCAAAGGTCAGAGGGGGCAGGGTTTCTGTTGAGTGAGGTGATTAGCTGTGGGCGGAGCTTATCAGAGATTGCTGGGCTGATGTTGAAGATTGAGACAAAAGTGTTTTCTTGTGTGTGTGTGTTTCTTTGTGTCTGATTGGCTGCTCTCCCTGTGCAAAGGTCAGAGTGGGCAGGGTTTCTGTTGAGGCAGGTGATTAGCTGTGGGAGGAGCTTATCAGAGATTGCAGGGCAGCAGCGCGCCTAGCGGCGCGCGCAGTTTGATCCATCTTTTAGATTTAGGGAGCTAGTCTCAAACGTTTGTTGGGGAAGACCTAGGTTTTTGTGGGGGAGTTATTTTCCTGTCTTCACGCTTTTTATGATGGAGGACCACTGTAGCCAACCCCAACGACACGTTCTCAAGATGGAGGAGGGAACAGCTGCAGTTGCCTGCGGTTCCTGCGCAATGCTTGCCATCTTGCCAAAGGTTGCAGGCAGCTTTACCTGCAGCAATTGCATGTTGATTGCCCTCTTAAAAGACAAAGTCCAGCAACTGGAGGAACGTGTAGCTACGCTCCAAAGAATTAGAGAGCTGGAGCTCTTCTTGGAAGCAACAGAGCACACCGTCTCCACCAAGGAGGAGACAGGGGACTCCCCTGAGAAGGACGCTAGTTCACCAACACAGGAGCCAGATATATGGAGAAACATGACTCAAAGAAGTAGGAGGCCCAGGGTTCGCTCTGATTGTTTAGAAATACACAATCGCTTTGAGGTCCTCTCCCCTAGCATGGAAGACGAAGAGCAGACTCCATTTGAGGATCTCTCCCTCATTACAGTCGATCAGGTATATGAAGGCAAGCAGCAAAGTCAGTCCTCAGGGAATGTGCAGGCGACCTTGGAGCGGACAGCTCACGGAACAACCCCGGCCAAACCTAAGAGGAGGAGTGTAGTGGTGATAGGGGATTCCCTACTGAGGGAACAGAAGCAGTGATCTGTGGGCCTGACAAGATGTCTCGGGAAGTGTGCTGTCTCCCGGGGCTAAGATCCAAGATGTAACTGAACGACTGCAAGGAATCATAAAACCCACTGACAAATACCCCTTCCTCTTGGTTCATGTGGGAACCAATGACACTGCAAGCAATAGCCTCCAGAAGATCAAAAGAGACTACGAGGCTCTGGGCAGGAAATTGAAGCAATTAAATGCACAAATTGTGATCTCATCTGTCCTCCCAGTTGAGCAACGTGGCCCAGGGAGAGGGGAAAATAGTGGAAGTGAACAGCTGGCTTCGCAAATGGTGTAAACAGGAACGGTTTGGATTCTTAGATCACGGACTGCAGTTTCTTGAAGATGGACTTCTGGCTAGCGATGGGCTGCACCTCACAACGGTTGGGAGAAATGTTTTTGCCAAAAATCTCAGAAACCTCATCAGGAGGGCTTTAAACTGACTAATGTGGGGGAGGGAGATAGTGCTCCTGAAGGTAGGAGTCTATCAATTGATGAAGATGATCATCCAAATGTCATAGACCAAATGGAGCAAACAGCACACAGACCTAGTGGTGGGAGGAAAAAATCCTTAAATAAGAGTCACGGGGAATGATTAATGGACTTCAATGTCTGTACACTAATGCGCAAAGCATGGGAAATAAACAAGATGAGCTTGAGCTCTTGGTACAGCAAACTAAATATGACATAATAGGCATCACTGAAACCTGGTGGGATAAGTCCCACGATTGGAATGTAATAATGGGGGATACAATCTATTTCAGAGAAACAGACCAGACAAGAGAGAGGAGGAGGAGTGGCGTTATATGTCAGGGATGTGTATACCTGTGAAGAGATCCAAGATTTAGAACCTCAAAGCCAAAGTGAGAGCATTTGGGTCAAAATTAAGGGAGAGAAGAATAACAGTGACCTCATTGTGGGAGTTTACTATAGATCCCCAAGCCAAACGGAGGACATAGATGATGCCTTCCTGGAACAGATGGCCAAGCATGCAAAAGGAAGGGAGATAGTAGTAATGGGGGACTTCAATTACCCGGATATTTGTTGGATGTCAAACTCAGCCAAGAGCATAAGGTCAAACAGATTCCTCACTGGCCTTGCAGACAACTTCATTGTCCAGAAAGTGGGAGAAGCAACAAGAGGAACAGCCATTTTAGATCTGGTCCTAACCAATGTTGATGACCTGGTTAGTGGGGTAGAAGTGGAAGGATCATTAGGCGCAAGTGATCATGCTCTTCTGAAGTTTACTATACAGCGGAAAGGAGCAGCCAAGCATACTAGGACTCAATTTCTTGACTTTAAGAAAGCTGACTTCATAAAACTTAGGGAAGTGCTGGGTGAGATCCCATGGACAGTAATACTAAAGGGAAAGGGAGTTCATGATGGCTGGGAGTTTGTTAAGAGGGAGATACTAAAAGCACAACGTCAGGCAATACCAATGAGACGGAAACATGGAAGGTGCCTAAAGAAGCCAGGGTGGCTATCTAAAGAACTTTTAACTGAGTTAAGATTAAAAAAGGATGTGTACAAAAAATGGAAAAGGGGGGAAACCACCAAGAGGAATTCAAACAAATAGCCAGCACGTGTAGACACAAAGTCAGAAAAGCTAAAGCACAGAATGAACTCAGGCTTGCTAGAGAGGTTAAAAGCAACAAAAAAGGCTTTTATGGGTATGTCCGTAGCAAAAGGAAGAACAAAGAAACAGTGGGGTCACTCAGAGGAGAAGATGGTGAAATGCAAACAGGGGACACAGAAAGAGCTGAACTCCTCAATGCCTTCTTTGCCTCAGTCTTCTCCGATAAAAGAAAACAATGCCCGACCTGAAGAATTTGGAGCAAATGATTCAGCAAAGGAAACACAGCCCAGAATAACTAAGGAGATAGTACAAGAATACTTGGCTAGTTTAGATGTATTCAAGTCTCCAGGGCCAGATGAACTGCATCCAAGAGTATTAAAAGAACTGGCAGATGTGATCTCAGAACCACTGGCAGTCATCTTTGAGAATTCCTGGAGAACAGGCGAAGTCCCGGCAGACTGGAGGAGGGCAAATGTTGTCCCTATTTTCAAAAAGGGAAAAGAGAGGACCCAAATAATTACCGCCCAGTCAGTCTGACATCAATACCAGGGAAGATTCTGGAGCAGATCATTAAGCAAACAGTCTGTGAGCACCTAGAAAGGAATGCTGTGATCACCAATAGTCAGCATGGATTTCTGAAAAATAAGTCATGTCAGACTAACCTGATCTCGTTTTTGACAGAATTACAAGCCTGGTGGATGAAGGGAACGCAGTGGATGTAGCCTACCTTGATTTCAGCAAGGCATTTGACAAGGTGCCTCATGATATTCTTGTAAAGAAGCTGGTAAAATGTGGTCTTGACTATGCTACCACTCAGTGGATTTGTAACTGGCTGACTGACCAGACCAAAGGGTGCTCATCAATGGTTCCTCTTCATCCTGGAGAAGAGTGACTAGTGGGGTGCCACAGGGTTCTGTCTTGGGCCCGGTCTTATTCAACATCTTTATCAACGACTTGGATGATGGACTCAAGGGCATCCTGATCAAATTTGCAGATGACACCAAATTGGGAGGGGTGGCTAACACCCCAGAGGACAGGATCACACTTCAAAACGACCTTGACAGATTAGAGAACTGGGCCAAAACAAACAAGATGAATTTTAACAGGGAGAAATGTAAAGTATTGCACTTGGGCAAAAAAAATGAGAGACACAAAAACAAGATGGGGACACCTGGCTTGAGTGCCGTACATGTGAAAAGGATCTAGGAGTCTTGGTTGACCACAAACTTGACATGAGCCAACGGTGTGGCGCGGCAGCTAAAAAAGCCAATGCAATTCTGGGCTGCATCAATAGGAGTATAGCATCTAGATCAAGGGAAGTAATAGTGCCACTGTATTCTGCTCTGGTCAGACCTCACCTGGAGTACTGTGTCCAGTTCTGGGCACCACAGTTCAAAAAGGACATTGACAAACTGGAACGTGTCCAGAGGAGGGCAACCAAAATGGTCAAAGGCCTGGAAACGATGCCTTATGAGGACCGGCTAAGAGAGCTGGGCATGTTTAGCCTGGAGAAGAGGAGGTTAAGGGTGATATGATAGCCATGTTCAAATATATAAAAGGATGTCACATAGAGGACGGAGAAAGGTTGTTTTCTGCTGCTCCAGAG